ACCTTTGATGCCATGTGCTTCTACCTTTCTAATTAGTCTTTCGTGGGGGACTCTGTCGAAGGCTTTGCTAAAGTCGAGATATACCACATCATAATTGTGCCCCTCGTCCACTGATTCGAAAACTGATGAAAAGAATGTTAATAGATTAGTCAGACATGAACGTCCGCTTGTGAAGCCATGCTGGGGATCATTGATCAATCGGTGCTTCTCCAGGTGATTTTGAATAGAATTTGAAATGACTGCTTCCAGTAATTTGACTACTATTGATGTTAGACTGATTGGGCGGTAGTTAGAGGATAGTGATCTATCCCCCTTCTTGAAAATCGGTATTACATTCTCTATCCTCCAGGATTCTGGTGCTACACCTGTTTTTAAGGACATGTTAAACAACTTTGTTAAGGGCATACTAAGCTCTTCCTTACATTCCTTTAATACTCTGGCAAATATCTCATCGGGACCAGGTGACTTATTAGGCTTTAGTTTGTCTATTTGCTTAGTAACATCGTTACTAGTCACTACTATCTCGCTTAATTTGTTTTCTTCACTATCTCTGAATAGAGTCGGTGCCTCGGGTATCATGTTTAAATTTTCGGTGGTGAAAACTGTTGAAAAATATTTATTCAAATTATTGCTCATTTCTCTGTCGTTATCAGTGAGCTCGCCGGTATCTGATCGTATTGGTCCAATCTTTTCTCGTGTTTTAGTTTGATACATTTGGTAGAATCCTTTGGGGTTTGTCTTCGCCTCCCTTGCTATCCTTACCTCATTATTCCTCTTGGCTTTCCTTATCTCGGTTTCAACCCTACTCACCAATACCTTATAATAATCCTGGAGGTAAATTTCGCCACGATTTATCCTTCTACCTATAGCCTTCCTTTGGCCAATGATGTTCTTTAAATAATTACTTATCCATTTAGGGTCATTGTTGTCTGATCTGAGTTTTTTGTATGGTATGTTCTGCCTTTGTGCATTAAGTAACTCATTATTTAAATTGTCGTGGAACTCGGCAATCTCAGATCTCGTTATGAGGTCGGTGTCATCAGTAATGAGGGGGGCTTTCACAAAGTGGTTGCCCATGGGCCTCCACAGGTCTAAATCCGGCACTGGGTGGATATATCATCAGCACTTTGCTTTTTCCTGAAGGTGGGTTGTAGGAAGGGGGACTAAACTGTCTTCTTGGTGTTGTAAGACTGTGAGAGCCAGTTGGTGACATTTAGCATGCATACCTTAGAGTGCGAGGGGGAAGCTTTTAGATGTATTCCTATGCATGTTCATTTTACAGTAGTTGGTAATTACTGTACCTGTGCTGTATAGAGAGATGTATGTCTTTATGTTTGAAAAAAGTAAGCTATCACTACTAGTGCAGCTTCTGTTGTTGTTTCTTAAGGATTTTGAATGAATATTTCTAAACAATGTAAGGATTTTGAATTTGAAATATTCCTTATTAGTATAAAATTTGAAGACTGTGGTTGTAAATAAAGTAAGGATTCTGAATTTAATATTCCTTAATAAGTATGGGATTTCGAATATTTCAGAGCACATTTAAAGGTAATTGAATCTCCATATCCCAGAACACTACATGAATCATCGTCCGGCTGATGTAAGTATAAGAAAACCGGTCGAAACCTGTATAATATTTACGGTGGCCGCAGACGGGATGCGATCCACTGGCAGTACAGGTTACCCCAGTGAGGCAGCCGCGATCACTTGTGGTACGTATTAGCTTCCCATATTATTTCACTTATTTTATGACACAACAGTACAGGTTACATATTCTGTACATGTTACGACTAGGGTTTCAAAATTATTACTGTACACGAACGTTGCTTGACATCAACAGACATCATTCTCGCACTCGTGCTAGCTAATTTTCTTAGCAATTTAAGACATAACTATAAATAGCATACATACATTCCTATAAATATATACAAGAATATAATCGACTCTACTCCCCTTATTATTCCTCACAACAACGACAGGAAGCCTGATCCACCCAACAATAACAAGCACACTAAACACCAAACACAGGGGAGGGGATACAGGATCTGAAACTTGCAAATAAAACTGGATTGAATAACTTACGAAAGCATTTCAAAACGTATAATCACATACATGGGAGAATAAAGGTGAATGTAAAAACGTTCATGCTCTGATATAACGTATGTGACTCGTACATTCCCTGGCTATGATTATCTCATCTCTACAGGCAATTCCCAAAAAAATTCGTCACTTGCAAATCTTGTATCTTCAATACAGAATAAATTATACTGTACTAAACTTACAGCCCAACTGAAATATGAGAAGCAGTGTGTATTATATACTTTGTTACCAAACCTGATAAACAATAAATATTAACAATAAAAGTGGAAGGAGATAGTTTGAACTTATCCTAGTGACACAAAAAATTGGCTTTCATGTCAACCTTACCGAATCGCGAGGTAGGATATCAAATTTTACCTACAGTACAGTATATCATAGTTCTACCGCTAGCTGAAATAAATAATTTAAACTACAGCATTTCAATATTGTTGGCGTTTTCTTATAATATTTTTTTTCTGCATTTCTGATGATGTTCAGAGATAAGCCACATAAGCAACAGGGAGTTATGTTCTACAGGCCTAAGACGCTGGGGAGGCCAAATGGGTGAAAATAAATCCCCCACATTTAAGGACAGAACTCTCCCAGAGATTAAGGACATACAGTGCAGTATATAACTTAAACTCAGCGAGATCTTCCGTGTGATATTTTAAGTTCATCACATCAAAATCATGTTCACACTATTTTCCTGTCTTTTCACACTGTCCCAGCTGATTCAACAAGACTCGGGTACCGCTGTCGCTTTACTCTCTAGGTTGCCTATGGGAATTAGTATAAATTATTAGAAAAAAAAGTCCTCTGTCCTGTTCCTGGGTGGCTTCTCAATATCCCTGGCCTATACCTCTTTGGCTTCCCATAGTGTCGACATGTACACAGAGGCCAACACGGGCGTAGCACTTCCAGGATCCACTTCCGTTTTATCACCGAATTGATCTATATCTCTCTCTCTCTCTCTCTCTCTCTCTCTCTAGTAAATTCAAATATAACAAATATAACCCATTCCTGGTTCACAAATAGGGTGGTGGACGAGTGGAACAAGCTTAGCAACTTTGTAGTAAGTGCTGGAACGCTGGAAAGTTTCAAAAGGAGGCTAGATAGATTCATGGATGATAGAGAGTGGTAGTAACTCTCGATAGGAGCTGCCATGCACAGGTCAACCGGCCTATTGCAGACTCCTTATGTTCTTATGTTCTTATAACGTTGACCAAGTGACACAGAGAGCATGTTCTCCTCGACCCCTCCGCTGGTAGCTAATTTCGTGCTACTGGCGAAATGAATGAAGCCAAACAACGTCCCATCTTATCAGCGAAGCGGGGTGTGGAGTGGCGTGCGGGAATGAGGTAAGGTGCAGTGGAGTGTGGGGAGTGAGGCAAGGTGGAGTGGGGTGTGGAGTGGCGTGTGGGAATGAGGTAAGGTGGAGTGTGGGGGAGTGAGGCAAGGTGGAGTGGGGTGTGGAGTGGCGTGTGGGAGTGAGGCAAGTAGGACAGGACGGGGTGAGGTAAAGTAGGACGGAGCAGGGCAGGACGGGGTGAGGTAAAGTAGGGCAGAATGGAGTGAGGTAAAGTAGGGCAGAATGGAGTGAGGTAAAGTAGGACGGGGCAGGGCAGGACGGGGTGAGGTAAAGTAGGGCAGAATGGCGTGAGGTAAAGTAGGACGGGGCAGGACAGGACGGGGTGAGGTAAAGTAGGGCAGAATGGAGTGAGGTAAAGTAGGGCGGGGTGAGGTAAAGTAGGGCGGGGCGGGGCCTGTGGAGAGGGTTCCGGTCACGTGATGATCAGCTGACCAAACCTTGCATATGACGTAGCCGGCTCCACCTACCTCAGCCCGGCCAACCTATTCGAGGATATTTCACCCCTTCCCTCGGGACAAACAAGGGCTTGCCTACACCCCTCGCCTAAAATTACCTACCGCAAGTGTACCGGTATACCAGTTACATAAATTGGCCAATATGTTGGAAATATACGGAAAGAGTTTAATTTTCAGGCGACCTAAACTGTTATCAACCAGTCGTAAAGTATATAAGCACAATTTCTATTCTTCGTGACGCACTGTTTGTATGATTCTGTTACTAAGCGACCAAGTCTATCCTAGCCAATTAGTACAGGCTATCCATATATAGGTCAAGTTACTACTGTCGAATTATTGTGCCCGCCTGCTCTTTAGACTTCAATGTCAACCTGTAACATTTCTGACTGGATTTCCCACTTCTGGTATAGCTACGCACTCAGGTCTCCATTAGTACTTTAGTTAGTTTTTTTTAATGCCAATTTATAAAAATACTCCTGACACTTCACCATATTAAAGGTGCAGTATGGAATCAATGGTGGAATAGCCAGCAAGACCAATAGTTTTATATTTAGCTCAAAACTAAAACTATCTAGGCGCAATTGGTTTGGTTTGTCATCTGTTTTAATACATAAATGGCTTAACTTATATTTTATTTATATATTTCAACACTGGCCATTTTGCTTTCATCCTGGGGACAAATTTCAGTCACTGGGATGCGCTGCAGTACACTTTCCGGTCTTTGTCCGCATTTGTTACGTCCATGTACTCGTTGTCAGCACAATTTACATAAAAAACACACCCTCTTTTTTTTGTAAGCACTGTCTGCCATGAACATTAACCCACGATCCCTTTTTTTCAAGTAACTTCGAATTTTAAACGAACGGACACAATGTACCTTATGACGTAATGACATACGCATCTCTTACGTCACGGGTTCATTTGTAAACAACACTCAGCTGAGCGAGTAAGCGCATCCACGCATCTGATTCTCTGAGCTCTACTGCACAAAACCTTTAGAACCACACCACATTTTAACCTTCGTATTGTTGGAACATCCTGCACCACAAAACGCTGCACCATAACATAATCGATGATACCCCATAATATTTACATACCTTGGACTGAGCGAGCGTAGCTACCCATGATGCGAGGTTGATTATACCCTCCTTCTGTCTGCTAGTGATGCCTCTGGGAACCTCCAATCCTGTAAAATAATTGTGCCATCGAAATATATACCATGTATATTCTAAACATTTTACTATGAATAATTTAAACAACAAATTTACACCTCTTTGACAAATAAGTGCGAAACGCAGCATTCAGTTAACTAATATATTGTAATGATAAATATTCCACATGAATATGTAGGGCAGCATCCGTGCAGCCAACACCCAGCTACCCCAGGACATAAGTTTAACCCCACCAGTAACAACACACCACTACATTTTCACAGGAAGTCAGGCACATTAATCACATTGTACAGTGCTATAGAAATGCCACAACGTATTCATAAATTACCTTAATAATCACACGATGTAGTTTATTTGAGAAAGTATCAGGTAGAGAGCGTGTGTTAGAACCGTCGTTGGGTGTGTTGAAGTTAGAAGTGCGCGTCGTTGTAGGGGCTGGGCTTTGGTTACTCCACTGCGCAGCTGATTTTGGCAGATGTTAGACAAAGCACTCCGTAACCTAGCTGTATCCTACTTATAAATATGACATTATTATGGCGTGTAAAGCCCCAAGATATACTCGTTTTAGGACAATGTCTCACATAATGGATATATCAATGCATGAACAGTACATGTTACAAAATAAGAAAAATATTACATATACTACAGCGCTTCGGATGCAACACTTCGATAAGTTGCCAACGTTTCTATTCCTCCTTGAGTATTGATGTTGTCTCCGTAAAAAGTATCGCTATTATTTGTATACAATCTAAATTATTCGTATATAGATGGTATGTGTAGCCACCTCATTCAGGACGATTTTAGTGTGAGCGATATGTAGGCGACTTTTCTCTATTCCAAAAACATTTCAATGTCTCGAAGAAGTTGCCAATAATGGGTTAAAAATTAAAGGTGTGGATGAGGTAACTTCTTCGTGCGTCACGGCTGGGTTGTTTCTGGTTTTACTGAACAGTGGGATTATAATGAGAAAATGTATAGAACTAAATATTTCCAATCTTACGCTTAACTAAATTGTTTGTTCCTCAAATTTCCTTTTTTTCGGTGTGAGTTAATGCTGTAGAGAACGTTTCCAACTTGTCCTATCCTTTTCTGTCCTGTCCTGACCTTATGCTTTTAATATAGACATTCCAAAAACAAAGTTAGGTTTGATTACAGTGTAGTTTCTCACAAGTGTTAAATTATTATAAGTGTGTGTGTGTGTGTGTGTGTGTGTGTGTGTGTGTGTGATGATAATAATAATAATAATAATAATAATAATAATAATAATAATAATAATAATTAATGGTTTATTGAAAAAGATCTGCAGCCCGGACCGAAAATATACATTGGACATACAGTAAATGACTTATTACATACATTGGTGGTTTAACAAAAGCCTTCACTAGAGAAAGGTAAAGGAACATAGAGTGAACATACAGATTAATGTAGGTGTTGAACAGCAAACACGTAGTGTAGTAACTCCCTCCCAGATGGTGTTAGGAGGGACCTCACGTTTTGTAGTAGTTCCCTCACAGATGGTGTTATGAGGGACCTGACGTGGTGTAGTAATTCCCTCACAGATGGTGTTATGAGGGACCTCACGTGGTGTAGTAATTCCCTTCCAGGTGATGTTATGAGGGGCCTGACGTGGTGTAGTAATTCTCTCTCAGATGGTGTTTTGAGGGGCCTGATGTGGTGTAGTAATTCCCTCACAGATGGTGTTATGAAGGGCCTGATGTGGTGTAGTAATTCCCTCACAGATGGTGTCAGGAGGGACCTCACGTGGTGTAGTAATTCCCTCACAGAGGGCGTTATGAGGGACCTCACGTGGTGTAGTAATTCCCTTCCAGGTGATGTTATGAGGGGCCTGACGTGGTGTAGTAATTCTCTCACAGATGGTGTTATGAGGGACCTGACGTGGTGTAGTAATTCCCTCACAGATGGTGTTGTGAGGGCCCTGACTTGGTGTAGTAATTCCCTCACAGATGGTGTTATGAGGGACATGACGTGGTGTAGTAATTCCCTCACAGGTGGTGTTATGAGGGACCTGACGTGGTGTAGTAATTCCCTCACAGATGGTGTTATATGAGTGAGGTGTGATCCTAGGCCTTCCTATCGTAGACAGATGGTGTTATATGAGTGAGGTGTGGTCCTAGGCCTTCCTATCGTAGACAGATGGTGTTATATGAGTGAGGTGTGGTCCTAAGCCTTCCTATCGTAGACAGATGGTGTTATATGAGTGAGGTGTGATCCTAAGCCTTCCTATCGTAGACAGATGGTGTTATATGAGTGAGGTGTGGTCCTAGGCCTTCCTATCGTAGACAGATTAACACATCGCTGGTTGTGTGTGCCATATGATCTCCGTCAACCTCTACTGTGTTTTGACAAGAAGACATAAACATCTCCGTAAGCCTATTTTACACTCACTGAATTATTTGATTTAATTCAACGATAACGTAGCACCTCGGTCTACAAATGCGGAAATTTGTCTATGGATAATTGTGAGGAAATTATTTTTGTCAGGACACTTTAGGATACTAAACAGCGAAGAAGATAAGTTATTAAAACATTTGTTACGCATAGGTTTATAAGCTTTCACACCCATACTAAACTATGCTTTATATATAACCTAACCTAACCTAACCTCACCTCACCTCACATTCATAGAGTGCCGTATAGGATTATGCATTGCCTTGTGTTATCTATTTCTGGCTATATTTTGTTGAGTAGTGACCGTGTTATCTTGTGATTATTTCTTGATTGTCCGAGTAAAGAGATATCCTCTCTTCTGGTTTTTTGTCACCCTTGGAAATCCCTGGCTTTTGATTCTCCTGTTTTAAAGATCATGAATACACATACACATACCTACACATATATACATAGATCAGATTCATGTGGGTGTTGTAACTGTTCACTGCCACACAGGACAGAGGTTCGTACACAAAGAAATGCATGGGTGTTGTAACTGTTCACTGCCACACAGGACAGAGGTTCGTACACAAAGAAATGCATCATATTCATTAGCAGTATATATAGGTCAGTCATGTGGGTGATGTCACTGTTCGCTGCCATGCATGACAGTGGTTCATATACATTGGACGTCATATTCTAATTGAAGACTAATCAGTGTGGGTTAGCAAATTTGGGATAAACAGCAAGAATGTCGGCAGTAAGGACGGCGACCTGGAGGTATGGAGCACTTCACCAGGGCTAACCTTCCGGGGTCAGATTCTCAAAGGTTCGTAACTGAAGATTTAAGAATACACCTTAATAACTAACTAAAGGTATAGCATAGAAATAGTGACCTAAAATAACCTTTGCATTATAATGAGCACCAGGGTTGAGACAAACTAACGTACAGAATCTTTACGGGGTTGAGACAAAAATAACGTATTTATTTGTTTTCAAAGTGATTCCGTTAATTTTACTTCCCTATAAAGTGAACGATTTGCAAGAGTTAAAGTAGAGTCTCAGTGTAATTTTAGCGCCATTATTGGACGCTAGTTTTGTGGGTTAGGTTCAGTCAAACAGGTATATGCAGCCTTATGTTTTTAGTTCCGAGAAAGAAATATCGTCGTTCGAACCTTTCTTGGACAGTCTGTCCGCTGAGTCACAACGTCCTGGATCTACTTTTTCCATTTATCAGCTCTAATTATTATTGAGTTGCTCGTTCTTTATTTAGTACACACACACACACACACACACACACACACACACACACACACACGCGCGAAGCTAAACCAATTTACCCCTTCGCTCTAGTCTAGAAGCAGGCGTGGTAATCATAAAATTATCAATATTAATAATAATGATATCAAGATTAATGCCAACAACTCTAAAAACAACTACAACAAATACAACAATAAAGCCAACTATGTCTCAAACGAATACCAAGGTCAGCTTTCTCAAGTAAACAAAACCAGAATCACGACTCGTTTATAAGGTAAGAACGCACCCTTCCCGCCTTTGTTATAGTAGAAGACTAAAGCTGCGTCATCAAGTTGTTATTTCCAAGAGAGGATGGGGGAACATAACGCTCTACTGACGGTGCGAGGCGCGAGGTCCATATAACTGCGCTTATTGTACCTGCTGCTGCTTTGTTGTATCAAGCAGGTGGTGTCTGTTATCGCATTGAGTGATAAGTCAATAGGAAGCCCCCATTGGTTATTTCTGTAAGGTCTTCGTTAACTAGCTGGATGGAATAATAATAAGTGTTTAAAGTGGCGGGTTAGTGGTGCTCAGTGATTTAACACGATACAGGTATTTTGAATGACGTTGACGGGAACCAAGGAAGCCGCAGGAGGGGGTGGGGGTACGTGAGATACAGTTCCAGGAACCAAATGTATGTTGGGCGTGTACAGAATAATAATAATAATGATAATAATAATAAACGGTTTATTAATTGAGTTGCAGCCGGTGGTTGAAAATATACAGACTTACATTTGATTTAGACATAATGATATAATATGCATTGAATATATTTACACATGGTTTATTCAAGAAAAAATCAAAATGACTAAGTTACATTGAGATGGGGTTGACATCTCAAATTCAGCCATTTTGAGAAAAATGTTATAATGCATTAATGCGCAAGTAACAGCTAAGATCTTTCATGCGTATACTTAGTAATATTGTCAACAAATAAAAATAATGCATAATACAACAATATGCTTTTATTTGCTCTTACATTCGAGAATATTACAATAAACTGCAGGGAAGTTATGATTCCCCACCCCCAAAAATAATAATAATAAAAATGTAAACTAACCTCCGTAAGATCAATAAATAGTTTGTTACCGCGGCGTGTGCATATAGCCTAGGCGAGAGCGGGCGAGCGAGCATACCGTAGCTGCATTTAACGGCGGGATCTGCGTAGTAGCTGCAGGGCATGAGGCAAGGCCAGTTATATATCAGTAGGTGCGTACATTTTCATCTAGTGAACTTACAGGATGGAATATAATACGTACGATAATACTGTAAAAGCAGAAACTATGCAATGCTCATAAATCTATAACTGCATGGAGATGTAATTTTTAAGAGCCTAAAGATGTACAGACTGGAATAATATACAAGAAGAGAGGTCTCCCGTCATTTGTATTGGTTTTAAATTATAATGCTCTTTTAAAACCTCTGCGGAAGGTAAATTTTAGAATGTTGTTTCGTATTTTATTGTAAATTACCTGTATTTTTTTTTAAATTTTCTGTTTTCTAGGCTGGGATGATTTGTTTTCCCTGGTTCTCCGCTTCATTATAAACGACGATTTGTACGTAACAGGTCCATTGATATATATATATATATATATATATATATATATATATATATATATATATATATATATATATATATATATATATATATATATATATATATATATATATATATATATATATATAATATTTTTTTATTAGCACAAATACTAACATGGTTATGATTATTAAAATTACACGCAATGACAACATGAACCAGAGTGTAACAAACATAAAAAGAGATCAACTTGACAGTTGTAACACCATAAAACAGGGTTGGGTAAACCTATTATCTGACGGGCAGGCCACGCTAGTACTGGCAGTGCAAGTACAGTTAACTTCTGTAGTAGTATTGATAATAATTATACGTATTGTATAATACATATTACAGAGAATCACCTGAAGAATCAACCTGTCAGTGTCCACCAAAGTTTCGCCATCCTCCGACATCAATCATACGGCGCACAAGACAAATTTGTTCTCGTCTTATTTGGTCAGTTGTTTTAGTAACATGGAGCTGGTCGTTACCAAAAGTAGTAATCGGATAACTTTATTAACGGATTAATCTATTTTAATATTTTTGTTCTTAATTTGTTTTATATAGGTGCCGGAAGACACAACTCCAGCTCGGTAGACGGCATACTATTATTTTGGTGCTTACTGTAGCTCCTCCAACTAATATAGTTCCTTAATTGTCTTTACTAATATATTTGTTCCCATACATAAAATGTAAGCCCGACGGGGTAAACAGTACTGTATAGTAAGAAAAATATTTTGTTTAGGAAATATTCTTGAAGTTCCTTGGGAACTGCTGCTGGACTTGGGGATATTATTTACTGCAGCTATGACCAATGACGTAGATCTCGAGACAAAATCCCCCAGCTAAATTGGAAAGTATGACAAAAGCCCTCAGTTAAAGTGCGAAATAAGAAAATCCCCAGTTAAAGTGCAAAATAGGACAAAAGCCCCCAGTTAAAGTGAAAAATTGGACAAAATCCCCCAGTTAAAGTGCAAAGTATGACAAAATCCCCCAGTTAAAGTGCATTATAGGACAAAAGCTCCCAGTTAAAGTGCAAAGTATGACAAAATCCCCCAGTTAAAGTGAAATAAGTTAGGTTAGGTATTGATCCTAGGATAAAATAAATGTAATATTTGAATATTTTACATGTCAGAGAAGTGTTCATAAGTGTTATTATTATTTGTCCTAGAGGGTTTTGTCCGAGGGGGCTTTTGTCCGAGGGGGCTTTTGTCCGAGGAGGCTTTTGTCCGAGGAGGCTTTTGTTCTAGGGGCTTTTGTCCGAGGAGGCTTTTGTCCTAGGGGCTTTTGTCCGAGGGGGCTTTTGTCCGAGGGGGCTTTTGTCCTAGGGGGCTTTTGTTCGAGGGGGCTTTTGTTCGGGTGGTTCTTGTCTTAGGGGGCTTTTTTCCTAGGGGATTTTGTCCTGGGGGCTCTTGTCCTAAAGGGCTCTTGTCTTAGGGGGCTTTTGTCCTGGGGTGATTTTGTCCTAGGGGCTTTTATCCTAAGGGGCTCTTTTCCTAGGGGCTCTTGTCCGAGGGGTTTTTGTCCTAGGGGGCTCTTGTCCTAGCCTGGTTGAAAGCAAAGGTAACCCTAGAACACTATTTGCATCATTGACGTAAAAATTATATTACTGAGCTTCAACAACTAAGGTCTTTAAGCGGATAACAAATAAATTAAATAAGATATACAGTAACCATTTTTTGTATCTAATGGTATTCTTAATTTGAATCAACAGGTTGTTTTGTCAATGATTTTATGTTTGTATTTTTTTATTTTGACTAATTCCATGTGAAAGTATCTGGTGAATTGAAAAAAAAATCAGTATTGAAAAAAAAAAATTAGTATTAAATTTGAGCACTGGGACAACATATTGACAATGCTTTATTTCCAGATCACAATATGTTCAATTTACGTCGATTATATTTAATAAGGAGTCCTCTGATTATGAAAATTTAATCATAATCTTTTATTACTATATTAGAGAGAAATATATTGATTTTAATTAGATATTATTGCTCTATTTTTAATCTTTATTAAATATTATGTTATCGTATTTAAGGTATCAGTCTGACGATACACCTTCCCCTTCCCTCTATTACCATCATATTATATTGAGCTTAATATTTATGACTTATATAAGCAACAATATATTTTATAAATGATTTTTTTTATTATAGAAATACAATATAAGATTAACTACAGAAACCAACAGTAATAACGAGAATATTATTACAATTTGTAGTGGATGACTCAGTTGGTGTCTGGTGTTTGTACAGTGTTAACCAATGGCGAGTATTTCTCCGTCCTCTTATGTAGACAAAGGATATATTCAGGCAACCATTATCAGCAATGTGAGTTAGAAGCGATATTATTGACGGTACTGTCGTTTAAGTATAATAAAGATGTGGTATGTGTTACAGGATATAGGTGATGGAGGCTGTCCTGCTGAAGGTCGGGGATAGAACCAGAAATTATCGTTTTTTGCGTCTTTAAAATATTATATCAAGATAATGATTGATTTATTTATTTATAGATCCATAATGATTCAAATTTTAATGGTAGTTGATTAATCTCGGTATAAGAGTGACCTAGGTGTTAGAACAGGTGTATTTGTTAATAGTGGGTAAAAATGTTTGCCTACAGAATTTACCATTACAATTTATATTAGTGTTGAACTGTATGAGAAAAATGTGTATATATAAGATAGTAGCTTTTGATTTATATATACAGGTGTGGTTAATATACCTGGTTATATTGTTATTCAGTGTCATACAATAGAAAAACCACCCTATGGACTGTGGACTTAATTTCGAAAGATTATTTAATCATAGGCTGTGGCTTCTGTAACTTGACAAAAAATTATTACCAAGTTGTCTTATTCTAGCAGGAACAAACTTCAAAATACTGTATGTACCTCCAACCTTCAGTATTGGTCAGTGGTTCATTCCAACAAAGTCAGAATTAGTTTAGTGATAGATTTTGTCAATACAGAACACAGATTCACCAAAGACCGTGGCTTAGTCTATTGTTTGCATCCTCGATAGATTCATTAACTACATAGGCATTCAAGTTAAAACTATTCTATAAACAAAATCCCAGACCTTAATTATTTTGAAAGTAGGACATGGGCCATGGTGGTTAGGACGTATGGGCCATGGTGGTTAGGACGTATGGGCCATGGTGGCTAGGACGTATGGGCCATGGTGGTTAGGACGTATGGGCCATGGTGGTTAGGACGTATGGGCCATGGTGGTTAGGACGTATGGGCCATGGTGGTTAGGACGTATGGGCCATGGTGGTTAGGACGTATGGGCCATGCGTCAAAATAATATAAGTAACATATGTATATGAGATTTATCACAGTTTATTTCATATCACAATTTACTTTTAAAATATTTTGCTGCGCCTATTTTCTTTTTATTTAGATGATAGTTACTATAACAGTTCAGTGTTGTATGAATACCATATTTGTTATGGCACTACAGTACAGTACTGCAGCATCATATGTTAAAGCTTGTGTATTTTCATCTTCCAGATGGTCTTGTAATACTAAAACGTCATGAAGGGAGGCAGCACTGACACCCACAATGCAGATTCACAGGTAAGTTGATATAGTACTGTACTGTACAGTAGTACAACCTTTTTTGAATAAAGAAATAAAAGGTTAATATACAGTACAGTGCAGTATTAATAAATGAATGTACACACACACACACACACACACACACACACACACACACACACACAACGCTCTCTCCATCCTGGAAATGCCATCCCTCAGTGACCTCCACCACCACGCACTAGCAGGATTTGGCAGTGAGCTACTGCACCATCCTCGTTATCGCCACCTACTGCCACTGGCAGTCCCCCACCCACCTCTCGCAGTCCGCCACTACAACAAAATTCAGCCCATAAGGGCCGGCACTGATAGATATAAGAACAGCACCATCCCATCTATTGTCAAAATAATAAACAGCTCCTGATTCATGTACTGTACAGTCCTGTAAATGTATTAAATGTATATTATTATGTCTAAATCACATGTAAGCTTGTATATTCTTAGCCACTGGCTGCAACTCTATTAATAAACCGTTTATTATTATTTTACACACACATTTTTGTCTAATTTATATTTTCAGCCTTCGGGCTGCAAAACTTTTCCAATAAACTGTTAATTATTATCATTATTTTTATCACACACACACACACACACACAGTACTGTGGTGTGCAGACGTCATCCTTAGTGCTTGCAGGAGCAGCCTGTGTATTAACCACCTTGTAAAGCACAGGCATAATATTCATATCTCAGAGCATAAGGTTTATCACTCTTCTTTTGGTGTGTACAATCCAGAAGTTTACATTTATGTCTGCCACCAGCATGTGCCTACATTAGAACAGTAAGCCTTTCATTAGATCTATCTTATCGACTCATTATTAGTAAAGAAACGTAAATGGAATGTGATGTACACTAATCTTTATGGTTATTGGTGAAAACCTGCACACTATTTGCTCATTCATTCATACTGTACTTCTTGTTAGTTGTTCTCAGACTTGAATAATATACTATAATATACTGTACTATGTGTTGCCTTTAATCACTGCTATCAAAGGTGAAAAATGGAGGAATAAAGGAAAACTGGCCTAGAAAGTCATTTATGGAGCTGTCTACAAGGAACCAACCTAACCTAACCAAAAGGACCATACAGTAGGATTGTTTGGTTATAGATAAAGTATAAATGGTTTCCTAATACATTTCTTCCAATTTCCTTCATTGTCATTGAATCCTATTTATTAAAACGAGTATAGCAGCAGAGATCATGTCAAGAAATAGCTACGAAGAAGTCAAGTGGTGGGACTGAACTAAACTCTCTTTCATGTCTTAATTGGTTAGGTATCAACACATCAGATTTATATTAGGAAGCAGGCATTAATGGTGAAGCTTTTTAGTGTGTTGGAGTGTAATTTTTTTTAAGATAGTAATTGTATATATCCACTGGTGTTGCAATTTTGTTATAAATGACTGTAGACTGAACAGGTATTCCATTAGCTGGGAAATATTAAGATCTGGTGTGATATGTGTGTGGTCAACTTTATCCTTATTCTGGCTATTGTTCAGTTTTGTGTATATTTTTATAGTTCTCTTTTTGCTCATATTGATAACATATTCTGCAGTTCATGATGATACAGTACTAGTTCTTTAAGCTTTCAAAATACAGTAATACAGTTCTATATTGGAGTACAGTACTGTGCAATATTTAATGTGTAAGTCTGTGGAAGTCCCTTAGACAATATTGTTACTATCAGGTCACTCAGCTGTACCTGTAGTACAGTAGCAGCTTTATTTAATAAGTGCAAGTACTGTATTGTAATATTTAAATTAAAATAAGGCTTATTTCAGGATGAGGTTGTGGAACGTGTCAAGGCCCGCCTCCAGGAGGAAGGAAGGGAGGCTCGCAACCTTGTGGCGTACTCGCTACTCCTTCAGGACCCACCACACACCGAGTCTGGTGAGTCATTTGGTATAGGAATTCAGGTCACACCACTTAGTGATGCCATTTAGCAGGTGCAGATACTTCAGAGTGATAATATGTAGGAGGTGCAGGTTACATCATCATCAACATTTGCAGCTATCTTCCACACGTGAATGAGTTACTGTGATTATCTGATGGCAGCTCCCCATGCTGCACTCTTTCATGCAGTCTCTCTTCTCAGGTGCTCTTAACTAAAGTCATTTCTTGTAAGCCTCTCTACATGTCATTTTTGTCGTGCCCTGGCTCTCCCCACTCCACATTTAGACTTGCACATCGTTTGACCCATTTGGTCTGATCCATTCTCTTCACTTGCTTAAAACATCTCAGCCTACCCCTACACAAAACTTTGCAATTACTGTATTCTCATTACCCAGTCACCATCTTATCTCTGAACAGATTTTCTTGTCTTTCAGTGTCACATTATACATCCACCTCACCATTCTCATTTCAGCTCATTCAAGCCTGCTTGTGTCATCTGGCCTTGTTTCACTACCATACAACCTCACACTTCTCACACCAATTGCCTACAACTTTCCTTTCACTCAGAGGGAAGGTCTTATTGGCACCAATAAAAGCAGTAACTCCCCAAACATCCTCAAGTCACTTCTGACTCTTGCAACTATACTGGCTTCAGTACCCCACTGGCACTGATCATTGCTCCTAGGTAACAGAACTCATCGACACAGTCCAGGGATATATCCCTAATACAATGCTGTATTGAGTTTGTCTGCCCTTGCTAAGGCCACATGGTTACCTGTGCATACAGGATGTTTAAAGTCAGCAACAGACTGCCATCTACTTCACTGCACCTCTTGTGTACCCACCATCTACTTTTTGTTTTTGCCTTATAAACTTTATTCCATCCTTCATTACCTAAATTTCTCCATTGCCTCTTCAGTAATATCTTATATCAGCAGTAAGTCATCAGTATACAACTACTCCCAAGGCAGACCAGTCCTAAAGTCCTATGATATTACCGCCAGCATCATGATAAACGTAAGGGGTTTCCAGACAGACTCCTGATTTCATCTCAAATTCCTCACTATCCACACCATTCACTCTCCCATAGATTTTTAAGCCTTCATAATCCATAACAGCTCAAACAAGGCACTCCTTGACTGGCTCCTAGCTTCCTCATTGCCCATTTTACTGCTTCACATGGTACCTTGCCAACTGCCTTCTCTAAGTCTATAAATATGATGTACAATTTCCTCTCCTTTCCGAGATACAGTATTTTTCTTGTTATTGCTTCTGTAGTCTTGAAGTTGCAGTACTGTACTTATATTTAGTATTTACAGTATAATTATTATATGATGAAATTTGATTGTTCTTCATATTTTTTTTCTGTACAATAGTTTACATTATTTAAGAAATAGGATAATCATGATAATTATTAATTTTTAGTGTACGTACATAATGCAGTACCTGTATATCGATGTGAAAGGTAAGTGCAGGAGCATAAATCATTTCTAAAATTGTACAGTACCGGAAAAACTTTTGCATACTATAGGAAAGATCAGTGGTCATGGATCACCCAGGGCAGTGGGAGAAGTTAGGGGCTCCTCTCTCCAGTTCCCAAGCTTGAACAAAATAGGCGCTGGATGTATTAAATAAAAAATGCAACACATGTTCATAAAAGGACCCAAACATTGATGAATACATGAGCAATAGTTTTTTAATATAATTACGGATATTTCATGGTGACTTAGGTTATCTTAGTGTAAATGCAAAACTGTCGACTTGTAAAAATACTGTAACAACATTTCTAAAATTTGCTGAACAAAATTTGGTACAAATAATTTAAATATCTTATTGTGAATGTTTTAGAGTTAACGTATCATTTTGGTGTGTACAAAATCGGTTACGAGAGAAGAGGGAGATACTTCAATAAATGTTCTTCAGGTTTTGATGGAACAAGAGAAACAAGATTCACTGTGTGTATTGATGTGTGTACAGTATTGATCCTTTACACAGGTCTAATGGTTAATTATTGTCTGCAGAATGAAAATAGGTGAATTTGTGTTACTAATTATGCAAACCAAGTAACTCCATGTTTAATTGTGAATATATACTATCAGCAGTTGTCCGCCACCGAGAAGTGAGGCGAGTGGCAGAGATGGCTCCACGGCGGGGTTCCAAGCAGGACAAACGGCCAAGGTCGGCATCAGCAGGACGTGATCCACAGGCTAGTAAGTCCTGTACTAGTGATTTATTACTGATTGTGTTAAGCATTTCCATAATGAAGCGTCATTATTTTGGGAGTCTTTACATTGATCAGATCTTTGCCTCTGGATTTCAAAGTTCAGAGATTGAGTTCTGAAGAAGGCAATGTGTACTAGGGGTCTGGATTGTCATGCCTCTACTGTAACTAGAATTACTCTATAAACATTGGAGGGGGATAAGAACGCTGGAGGGGGATAAGAACGCTTAGGGAGAAGACTAAAAGGAAAAACATTATTCCACAATACTGTACAGAACTTGTTCATCTTTGCCATATGAGAGGCAGAGTATAGCCTAACAAAGTGATAGAGCCACAACTCTGATTTTAATTTTCAATGGTGACTCGCCTTATTTTAGTATTGTTACCCCACTTGCCCTTCAGACTCAATATACCAGTCTCATACATGCTTCTAGCTGCTCCTCAGACCATCCTAGCTTCCCATAGTCAAGTCCTCATTGGTGACACAGAAGGTCTTCTTGACCAGGGATTTTCCTCTCACTCCCACACCTGAACTCTTTTCCATACAGTACCTTATGGTCACGTACTATGAGGAGGCATGTGTTCCTTACACTCCCACCATGTGTTAAGGAATTTCTTACGTGGAATTGTATTTAGTCCAAAATTTTGATGACATTTACGTGGTCAATTTACCAAAAACAAATTGTAATTTTCTCAAACATATTACTTTAATCTGCAAGCTTTGAAACTGTACCACATCAGTAAAATTATCAGAACCAAATAACCAAGCACTTTACTTTTTCCCCCCAAATTATAACCATGTTACATTATTGCAGACTGGGATGGCTAGAAATGAAAGCAGTCGAGACCTCCCCCCACTTTGGCTGTCTTTTAATATCTCTGAACTGTTTCTATACCATTTGTTCTCTTCTGTCCCCTTCCACAACAAGACCCCAAGAGAATCCATTCCCTTGACTACCTACCTCTAACAGATGAAGCTATTTAGTTTCTATTACAGGTGATATACTGAAGGTGGTTAAGGGAAATAATTATTGGGAGTAGCTGAAGGGGAAGTAAAGAAATAGACTGTGGATGTTCAGTGAAACCTCTATTTAACGAACCGTATGGAGAGAGAAGGCCGCTTATGTGGAGGTTTTAGTTTTATTATTTTTTTACAATTAAGAAGATATTATTGACGACCAGGCTGGTGGTGTTGTAGATGTGGCCGAATATGGTAATACAGTAATAGGGGCCATTTCTCCCTGTTGACAGCTATTTATGTGTTATATTGTTTGTTCTCAGGTGACATGGGCTAGCTTGACCTAACAATATGGATTGTCTTTGTTCAAGGTTTACGCGCTCGCCACTGGGGTTTTCTTTTCCGGAATTTGCAGCAAGCGGTGGATGAGATATATCAAACGTGTGAGGATGATGAAAGTATTGTGGAGTGCAAGGTGAGTTATTTGTGGATGATACTCTGCAATAGTTATATATACAGGTACGTATATCTTTTTTATGTTCTTCCATCACAATGTTTGTCAGTACAGTGTTTAGTTGATTGATGAAATATACAGCCACTCCTCTACTTACGACGGGGTTAGGGACCCAAATCCAGGTCGTAAGTCGAATTGGTCGTAAGTCAAAAATGCGAAGATAATACATAGAAAATCTAAAATGGGTGTCTCTTTTTCTTCTCAGCACCACAAATTCTCACTTTTAAGCATACCAGCCATTTTAAAGGGAATTACAAACGAAAATTTTGTCAGTACACAGTGCAATCACTAACGTCGGGACTCGAAAATAGGTAATTTGAAAAGATTTGGGTACGACTGGGGTGGTCGTAAGTCGAGGAGTAGCTGTACTATGTAAGAGAGAGAGTGATGGAAGGAAGGATTCGTGGATTTGTAAAGTTATGCATTAGCCTTAGTTTATGAAAATGCTATTGATTCATTTAGTTTACCGGTAATACATTAGAACTTGTATAAAAGCTGTGGTAAATCTTAGAAATATACTTGGAGACACTTTGTTGTGTATGGAAGCATAAGAATCTCAGTCATTGTATATTTGTGTTGTATGGAGGCATATCAACCTCATACAGTAAATGTTGATCGATTTGAAAATATAATCACGATGAAATTCCATGTTCGCATCATTGCATAATCCTAGATCCGGATTCTTTGGTGTTTCATATACAGTATTAACCCTTTGTTTATGAGGGTCACTGTGCTGAATCAAATCATCTGGTGTTTGTCAAATTGAATACTGTATTAAAATTGGTGTCCCTGTAGTGAAGGTGTTAAATACCTCCCCTTGGCAAGGAAGCATGAAGGTTATCTTAACTAGTTCCCTTAATTTACAATACAAAGGTTCCCATCAAAAGAACCCAAAAGCTACACTGAAACATTGTTATACTCTTTGTGACTCGATAATATTAGACTTCCATTATAGTTTGTGGATCATAGTTAAAGATATTTGACTCTCCACTAAATGCAGATGAAGGATATGGCCACCGTTGATTACCTGAATAAATGCATAAGATGTTAAGTAGACTCTTTTCATTTACAGGAAGCCATCATGATGTTGGAACGCTACAGCAACGACTTTCATAAATTGATAGAATGGTTAAAGTTGAAGTGGGAATACGAGCACACACCTCCCCCTCAGCGACCCAACTCCTTAACGTGGGAAATTCGTACATCTTCTCCTGGGAAGGTGCGTTATATACTGTACTATATTTTGGGGGGTATTCTTCTTTTACTATTATTCTTTAATTAAATGCAACTTTTTGAGTGACAGTTGATACACATTTATGAAGAGCTGTTGTTTATAAGTAAGTTTAGTTAAAGTTGATGGGGCATGAGCAGATGAATTAGGATGTACTGTACTGTAGAGTGAAAGTGTGTATGATATGTGTGATGGGCAGTGCACAGAAAACAAAGCCTCTGGTAAACAGCAGTGCACTTGATAGTCCATTCATAGCTGGGTTGACTAGGGTGTCCCAGATACAAGCCAGGGAATCTTAGGAGACAGGTTAGTGCTGTGGCCACTGCACCCTCTAGAAAATAAGACAAAACTGTAAATACTGTAAGTTTTTTATTGTAATTTTTTATATTTAGATTATTTTACTGTATGTGGTCTGCTGAAATGTACTTTCAAGTTGGGTCAAGTGATGATGGAGTGAGAAATTATTTGTTTGGGTGTAAACCCTTCCGAGTTGTGTTGTAGACACAGTAAGAAAAATCCTTAAAGTAAACTTTGATCTTAAAAAGAAAATGTAAAGTGAAACATTTTAAGAGGTTTGGGTTGAAGAATATGAGACAGATTGTTTAATTAGATGACATTAAGTTCAAAGCAAGTTAATGAGAGGGTGTCTGTATGAGAAAGCTGTGACAAATTGAAATTGTGGAAAAGGCATTTTTTTTTTCCATTTCAGGCTTTGCAGCACGATCGCAAGATTTTGACTCCCAGTGATGTAAGAAGAGCACTCACATTTGACACTAAACAACAACAACGTCCGGGTCTTATGAACGGTGTTTCCCACGAGAAGAAAACCGGCGACAAGTTCCAGACGTCTAAACATGATGTATTGGCGAGTGATATGAGAATGTTATCGGGAGTAACCACACCGCCTAAGCCAGTCATTATTGTACATGAGGCAAGTATAGATGAACAACAAGAGGATAATTCTCAGTTATCAGGTATTGCTAAGAATAAAGAAGCCAAAAAAATAGAGAGAGTCTTAGAAAAGGTTAATGAATGTGAGGGAAATGAGACCAGTGAAGTAAATGAAGTCATGAACTGTGATGAAGAAAATAAGGAACAAAAAGAAGAAAATAGTGCAAGTGAAAATATAAAAATAACAGACATTTGTGTTAAGAATGGGAAGCTTATAGAGGCGATGGAAGACAATACGTCATCTGAAGACGGAAAAGTGAAACCAGCGTTAAGTAATAATGACAAAGATGAGCGTGAATCTCTGACAGTAGTGAATGAGGATGGTGTGTGTCAGGACAAAGCAACGAGTTCTTGTAAACCAAATATTTGTGTGGAAAACTCTGAAGACCCTTTGAAGACGAACGGTGAAAAGGAACCGAGTACTCATGTTAGAAATGCAGACAGTCCAAAGTCCAAGGAGACTAAATCTTTACGAAGCAATGTTGCATCGGGAGCCACAAAACCAAAAGATAATAACATACACAATAAGGTGAATGATCCTTCTTGTAAAGCAACAGAAGTGAAAGAGTGCGACATAAAGACAAGTGAGAGTGGAGAAGCAAAACGTTCGTGTGCAGAAATTTTGCAGGGAAGAAATTCATCGCAGAAACCTGGACCAACCGTAAATATGAACAAAGTATGTATAGCTTAAGAAAACATGACTAGTTATTTTTTATTTATTTATTTATTCATTATCTAGGTACAATATAGCAAATAATAGAAGCTTAAATAATGAGATGATTTGGTTGAAAGATATTAGAGTAAAGGAATTTCTTTGATGATTGCTGAGTGACACTATAAGAAAGGAAGGGTAAACAGGCACAGTAGCTTGATGAGGTGAACATTAAAGTACCTTACCATGACAGTTGTGTAGCTAAAAGAATATAGTATGTGGCTATGTTGCTTTTGTGACTTTGAGCATGTCTTAAGTGGAAAGTTTGTAGCCTCGTTGATGAGTGACAGTTTGTGTCTTATATAAGTTAATTTTGGCTACAGTAAAGTACCTTCTCAACTATAAAGTGTGGGACCAAGAGGCTTCTGTAAAATGGATAATCATGTAAAGTAGATACATAACTATCATGAATGTGTGTAATAACCTTAGTAACCTACCTGAACACTAACTAAATTCATTATTCTCTTATACTCAGTGTTATTAAGTCTACAAATAAGTTTACAATATGTCATAATTCCCCTTCAATCACGTTATAATTTGCTCCTCAAACTCGTGTGTGTGTGAAGACGAGTATACTTATCACTTATGCACCACCAGGCACACACTGACTGAGCCAGTTGCCTGATTGTCCTATTTTTCCATATTTACTCTCATGTAAAATATAATTGATGTTGAAAATTTAATAATGGAAAATTATGCACTACAGGATAGCTATTCTTAAATTTCATATTTAGAATGGTAAAATTTTTCATAAAATAGGTTATTAATACAGTCAATTTTTTGGTTGGCAGTTACTTCTCTATACTACTGTGTGTATTTAGTAAACAAGTTATATGGAGCTGTGGCTGCCTTGCACTCTGCTGTATCAGTGGTACTTTGAAGTGGTGGTCAGGGTATTAGACAGTATTTTAGCATAACACACAGACCCACAACAATATAAGGTGGTTGGTAAGGTGTTGCTCTTAAACCTTGGAAATGCAACTAGTTAGAATATTATTTGATCTTGACTAATGATAAGTTCAGTAACACCTTGATGACATTAACAGGTTTTAAGTACTATAAACTGTACACATGCTAGAAAAAGTATCTTTTATTGTTTTGTGTTAGACAATATGACACAAAGGACTTTGACAACCCTACCGAGACAACAGGAGTCGGTGTTCATTTTGAAATTCATTGAACTCCTCCGTAAAGATACTTTTTGGAGCGTTTGTGTGTATATGATAATTAATTTTGATTTTGTAAACCTTGTCCATGTAGGCATCACAAGTGCGCCAGGCTTACAACCAAAACAGGACCCCACAGAAACAGCACAGATCCATGAGCGCCAACAGCCGACAGTCTTCTGTTCCCAGATCAATTGACATCAAGGCAAATATAACCAAACAGCAGGTAAGGTTTCCTGTACTGTATGTGATACTTATAATCTTCTATAATTTTCAGCTGCCTATTTATGTTGCAGAAGTTAATTTACCTCGCTGAATTAATTTCTTTTGCATCAATATCAATAAACTGGCTTGAAATGATCAATAAAAGTAATACTGTACCGTACAGCGTGCCTGGATAATTTGCAGATTTTTATTTCGCGGTCCTCTATTATTCGCGGACAATACCCTGGATATGCCATAAAATGTCTGCAGATAGTTTCAAAGTTGCCGGCATTTTCGCGGCCAGTACGAGTTTTGTGGCATCCTGCAAGGTGTCTCTCTTGTCCCAGGAGACTGGACCATGCCCTCGCTTCGCCTCAGTCCGGGATAAACACTTGTACGTCTCTTGCGTGTGCTACTCTGTTCTCTTAACAACTGTGCTCCTCGTGCTTGTGATGGCTCCCAAACGCCCTCAACCACCTTCGTCCAGCCATGGGAAGGCCCCCAAACAAGTGAAGAGAGAAAAGGTCATTTATGTCTCCCATACGTGTGCCTGGCAATGGGAGCGTGTGAAAGGAGTGACTACTGATTATCGTCTTCAGTTGTAACTCACCTCGCTTCCTGCCATGTTTCACTGGATTTACTCTTATTAATAGTGTTTACTGATAGAATAGTGATTAACATGTTATTGTAGCTAGGATAGCTCATCATTGTAACCACCAGACTATTGTACTGGGCCAAGCTGTGAGGTGTTATGGTTTTTTCAACTCGTACTTTTGGGTAGTTATACGTAACCTTCTTCATTTATTTTTACTCGTTTACATGCACACACCATCCAACATACATGTTGTGAAAAAGAATACAGTATTACACAACAATTACCGACATCCTTCATGTTGGGTTAGCTAGATGGCTATGAAAGAAATTCTGTAATTTTGATCTACATATCAACCCAGCTGGTGTTGGCACCAGCTGGCAACTCGACCATCTCAACTTTAATAACAAATCACTTGAGAGTATACGCGCATTTTTTCTACACTACATTTTGTTGTTGTGTTTCTTATTTCAGTATTTATGAGAGGATTTCCCCATTATTATTTATTTGTATGCATTTTAATAATGATAAAAATAATAATAATAACTAACGGTTTATTGAAAGAGCATGGCAGCCGCAAGGCTGAAAATATGCAGTTACATAATTGGGGAATGGGTCACTTGATTGACAAATAACATAAGTGATACAAATATGATGTATAATAACTGTATAATAAGTGGGGAGAAGGTTTTACTACAGGGCATTTCAACATACTAGTGACAGTGTTAAAGTGTAAGATTGACTGGGAGGGAACACATACACTGGTTGATTATGAGTTGTTGATAATTTTTATAATGGCTGGGACTGGGCTGTTCTTATAGTGTGCTTGTGTGTGTGTGTCTGTCCAACAAACACACACACACACACACACACACTTATACAATACAGGTAAAAGAAATAATTGTTCTCAGGGCAAACACATAAAGGGAATATACATTCCTTTCTACACAAGTAAAAATCTCCCTAACCCCGTCAGCAAATGTTATTCGCGGCCATTTTGAGAACCTAAACCCCTCAAATTTGAAGGGTCGGCTGTACTGTACTTTTATTGAAGTTTGAGCTCTTTTAACTCCCTAAGCCCCGGTTGACGTTCCGGAATGTTCATCTAGGGCGCCCCGGTTGACGTTCCGGAACGTGCGCCCTTTTGCAAAATTGTTTGAATGCCCAGTGCGGGTTATAAGGTTCCAGCATGACTAGTTGGTGGTCACGCCACACGCAGGGTAGCGTGGGTGGGCTCAGTGTGGCTAGTACGCATTAACCTGTCGCCATGGAGAGTCATCCTTCAACCTCTCATGCTAAAAGTAGTGTAGTTGTATTGTAGTGTAGTATTACTGGAATGATTATGTTATAAAGGTGTATTTATTTGTGGAATTATTATTCTGATAATTATTTATACACATTACTTGCTCTCCCAAACACAGCCTGGCGACAGACTGCGTGAGTGTACATATAACTAGGAATAGAGGGGTATGGCTTATTATAGTTGGCAGATGGAACTGTTTGATAAGTGGTATTTGATCAAAGAGTTTGGTGTTATTCCCTTTGATGCACAAACTTATTAAAGATAAGATAAAATACAAGAAGTAAACAAACTACTGTATTATTTAATGTGTGTGAGCATAATGTGTCAGGTACTAACTGTGCTGTATAAACAAAGAGGTGATCATTGACGCTCCCAGAGATAGTTAACTGTACTTACGAGTTGACTCATATTTTATAAATTTTGTTGTCTTGTTTCTGATTATTTGTGAGAGGGTTTTTCCCATTATTAATTATTTCTATGTGTTTTGTACATGTCTACACACACACACACACACACACAGAGTACAGTACATGTATATACAATACAGTTAAAAGATAAAATGGTCCTAATGGCCAACACATAAAGGTCTGTACATCTCTCTGGACATGAATACCCCCTCCCCACTCCCCGGGTCAGCAAATGTCATTCACAGATTTTCTTATTCGCAACTATTTTGAGAACCTAACCTAACCTGATAATTTTAAGGTGCATGCTGTACTTGGTATAGTTTTTTTTTGTGTTTTAATTATACTGTATTTTGATACTTGTACCTCTTGTCACTGAGTCATCCTTGACAAAAGTGAAATTGCTAGATGGTCTTTGTTAGAAAAATTCCATGAACAGAAGTGCCAAGATTATTTTTATTACTATTATTATATATATTTTTTTAATTTATTTTCCTGGGGTGGGGTGGGGTCGGGGGTACTCAACCCTAGCCTAATGATATAGTACTGTACCAAGGTAGTTTGATTTAATCAGGACAGGTTTGGCTGCTTCATTGTATCTGAAATATATGTGGTTTTGTAGCCTTCTTCATGATATATTTTTCTACATTGACCATTTGCAGGGAGACTAATTTTTAGGTTTTAATTGTGACTTCTTGCTAAAACTAACACTTTGACTCACATGTATATAAGGAGTATTTAAGGAATAATCAGTAGGAGAGTAGATTTAAATCTGGTTTAAGAGCTGCAGAGTAGCATTAATTATAGAACTTCAGTTTCCTGTGCTTTTGATAGGAAGTCGGTCAGTTAATTTCATATTGTCAATGACTCGAGGATGTGTTACTCATAGGAAATGGACAGCTTGCTTTCTGAGACTGTTTCATAGTGTATTTATAACTCTGCTGCCACCAGGGTGCTGGTGGGAAACTAACTTACCGAAGAGTGGGTGAAGGTAAAGCAACACCAAGTCCCCCACTGATAAGAAGGCAGACATTGGATCCTGCTCGTAGCAGTGGTGGATCCAGACACTCGGCACCTAATGCCATCACCAGATCATACTCTTCACTGGGCATAACGGTACGCAAAAATAACCATGCTGTTTTAGGATGCTTGCTGGTGCTTTTAGATATACAAACTAATAAACTTTTACCACAGTATCTTGTATGCCATACCCCGAGCTGTAACATATGAGAGGAGTTCATACAATGACTATAAAGTGGGCAATTAACCTCGATAATCTGGCTGTCCTCTACTTCTTGTAAACCAACTTTTCATTTTTTATTCTTGCAGACATAATTATGATTCTTCTTCCTCTGTTCAATTTTTATTTATTATACAATTGTTGATGACATCATCATCATTATCATCAATACAGAAATCTCAGGCTGATATCTTAAGTGCTTCAACTGGTGTCTTGAGAATGTAGGGCTAATTAAAATCTTAGTTATTTGACAAGAATTTATGGCCTCTACCACTCATGAGGTGGTGTACTCGATGCAGTATTTGTTAAATTTTATTCTTACTTGGGGTATAAAGTAAGCTTTAGGTTAATCATTATAAGTGTGAGATTGAATTTTTTATTTCATACATTTTCCCAGTAAATGCAACTTCTGAAATACACAATTTTTCATTGATAACAACAAAATAGCCAGTAGTCCAGTTGGCCTTGGTTGCCCTCAACAGAACTACTGTGGAATAAGTCAAGTTGGTGTTCTTTCTACCATAGATGATTTTTACCATTGGTCACATTTTCGAAAACTTCTCAAACTCTACATTAAGTCACAATAATTTTCCCATTATAAATTCTTTATTAATCCCTTTGTACCTTTCTCTCTTGTTTCCCTCCCTCCTCATAACTCTTACTTGTGTATACTGTATTTGTTTTAAGTAATTCTCCTCTTCTCCACATGTTCTGGTCCCTATGTGAACAAGTGATGACTGGTTTATGTGGGCTCTAAATACGGTACTGTAGGGTGCATCAGCATGTAGAGGTCTTCTGTACAGTACATGCATTACCAAGGAGTGTTAATGCTTGTCTGTAAGTGTGGAGAGGAGTTGAGGCTGTAGTACTGAGGCAGTGTTCTATGTTTGGTCACTCATCAGCTGCTGGAGGGAGTGTACAGTATTTTCAAAAACTTAGATACTTTAGATGAAAAGAACATTAACAATTATGCACTCTGGATTTATTTGATTTTTTGGGTAAATTTTACATTATATAAATTCAGTACTTTTCAGAAACTAGTAGTACAGTAGATACTAACCCATCTCATTCTCTTGTCTTCATTGAAAAATTTGCCCTCTAAGTGTAGATGAATGTAGAAGTATCTGTTGGATCCTTCTGGTCAGGGTATAGAGGCTGCATTTTAAAAACATCATCATGGAGTTAAATTTATTGATAATGTGCCTCATTTAGAGATTAAAGGTTACCTCATGCATTTAGATTTATTAAGAAAGATTTTTCAACTGGTTTGCATATTTGTAAATCTGTTAACTAGATTTAGTATGGTGTAAGGGAAAATAGTATCATTGGACATGGGTCAGATGTTTTAAAAATGCAGCCCTTGAATATAATTGGGACGATTATGACCATTATCTCACTGGCTTGTCGTGTGCCCATCCTACAGAGTAGAGGTTTGGTTCGTGGCAACAGCAACCTCACAGACTCACGCATGAGCAAAGGCTATGGGAGCAACTCATGGACAAATGTAAGGCATCATGCTAGGTTATGATGCATGCATTGTTCTTTGTATTGTTGTGCCTCTTAATACCCTTTGATAGATAAACTGTTTTATACATGGCTCACTGAAAATTGAACTTTTAGTCTTAAGATAGTTGCCTGAATGGGGGAACAAAATTATTTATTCATGTAAATGGTGGACAGCATTGTTATCCAGTACACAATTAACCAATACAAATTTATTGAATTAAGGTTAGAAATGTCATTGCTACTATACAGTAGTTTGTTTCCCCAAAAGACACCGCTCCCCAAATTTACAAGGTGTTATGTTATTTGGCCAACTGTAACATCACCATTATGAAGATATCAGTTGGTAATATGAGAGCAGTATTATAGTACAGTATTAGAAGCCCGTGTTTGTTTCTCATGTACAGTACTACAGTATTGTGTTAAAGCTTGACTCTTACTGTCTGGTACTTGGGTAGACATGAAGCAAGTTTTGTAATTAGAGTAAAATACCATTTTCATAAAGTGGCTTGGGACTGAATTCGTTATGTATGAAAGGATTTTTTTAAAACTGTTATTGGGTTGTGTACCATTAGAGTTACTGTACAGTGTAATGAGATGCAGAAACTTATGTATAACCTTTAAAAATAAGCATGTGGACTTGTGTCTTTCCTTTAGTGTATGAACATACATGTACGGGTATACAATTGCATAATTACAGTGCAGTAATTTACTTTATAAATTATACAGTATTATGAGAATTATGCAGTTAACTGTAAAACATCCTTATAATTGCATTACAACAATAAAATATATTGAATTTCAAGGGTAACAGTTTATTTTGAAATTACAGGGTTCCAAATTTAAGTTTCACCAGCCATTCACTTTCATTCTGTAAATGCGGTACTTCAGGGAAAACTGTACTTCACAAATTTTGGATTTTTCTGTTCAGTATTACCGAATGAATTGTTCTGATATTATTTGCCTGCGTTAATACCGTAGTGTTTTACTAGCACTGACCAGGATCCTCAAAGGTTCTCATATATTTATTCTGTAAGTGGGAATAACAGAAACAGAAGAGTCTTGGTACAGTTTAGGTACACCCGAGGTCATAAGTCTCACTCCCATGAAGCATCGACCCCAAATAAGATAAAACATTGCACCAGATGACAGTCAGGGTAGAAGTCTGTTTGGTGACTCATACCTGTGACTCGGTTTCACCACGAGGGAGAGAACTATTGACCCTGAGTGTACACTAGCATTGATCCTGTAATGGGTGATTGTCAATATAAATTTAGGTACCAGTTATGTAATAAAGGAAAAATCTTAGTACAGTATCATTAAGGCTGCCATCTTAGTGCTGCAGACTTAGAGAGCCATTTGTCACATTGCCACACAACAATGGGAGATGTTTAACATTCAACCCTTTGAGAATCAGGTTCATAGTCTCCTTCCAACTTGTTACTTATTTTAAGTTTTTGTAATTCTTTGCATGTTTTGAAAATTTAATAGTTAGTCTAGAACAGTACAGTACTGTAGTTATTGGCATGATCAAAAATGTTATTTGTTTGACTTACTTTTTACACTTTAAGATTTATACACGCTGTGAAGCATGAAATTGGATGCTAAGAATGTAATTTATTATACAGGCAAGGAAAAAGAAATATAGAGTACAGTACTAACATATGTTACTAACAAATTAATGGAATTATTCCTGAAATGAAATTAAGATGCTACGAATATTCGGAAACTCTACCAATATATTTTGGGGTTCCTACTACAGTAGCGCTATCTGACTTAGGCTAAGACTAAGCATCCCTGTTTATGATTTGACTTTAACAAGGCATCTTAGAGTCTGAAATTTCTATTATATTTTCTGGGCTGTTATCAGAGTGACGGCAAGTTGATATTCCACAATTTTCCTCGAATATTTGATTGCTAACTTTAACTGCCGAAAGGTTCGATAATTAAATGACGTCACAACTTAAGGTGTGAGAGAAACCCACAATGTTGACTCACTCAATCTTTATTGGTTGGTATGGTCAAAACCTGCAAAGAATGAGACACTCGCTAACTACTGATTACATTCCATTATATGTATACTTTATATGTCAGTTAGTAGATACATTATTCTGTATGCTAAGCCTTAGTTCCAAACATTTCACCACAACACAAACAATCACTGTTCTTTTGTGGGCTTATCGCTTCACTTTATTCCTAGTATCGTTCCAAGTAACTCCTGTGGTGGCTAGTGCGTTCACTCAAAAGGTCCGGCCGATACCGCCTCAGTGCCAGTTAGAGCGACCAACACCCCACACACATCTGGCGAGGTCACAGGTCGGGGACCTGCCATATATTTTAGCGTCTAGGGCCGAGACGATGACGCCATCATCTCTTCGCTTAGTAAACAACAACAACACTTTCTCACTACTTTTATCACCCTCCCATAATTGCAATAACACCAAGTGAGGCCGGTGATAACGCGAACCATTTCCACATTCCAAGTGTTGTTGAGCTGATGGTGGTATGCCAAATGTTTACTGCAGGTTTGATCATGCTGAATTGGCATAGCTTGCTTATGTGAGAATAGAAGGGCTTTTGGCAACACTGCTGGCATTGGCATCAGTATCTGTTTGTATTCCTGTCTCGTCTGATCAAAGCTTGACTGAGTCACATCGTCTAATCCTGCCTTAGGTATGGAGCTTCTTTGTATGTACAGTATGCTTAAATTTTCATTTACTTGGTGAATTTGCCCAAATTTGTACAAGATTACTTTTTATATACAATACAGCACAGTATTGTAAATTTGTGTGAGATGTACAGGGTACTTGTATGACATGCAGATAAGCTTATTGTCATTCTGGCAGGTTTGGTATCTTGCTTGTGTCAAGTAACTGCCACCTGGATGAATGAAGAAAATGATGTGAGACTAACAATGAAGTCTGACTCAACATACAAATGCAAAGGAGAAAATTAAAATAGGATAATACAAAAAAATGGAGAAAGAGTAGAAAAGTAAGTTAAAAAATATATAAATTGAGAAAAAATAAAAAATAAAATAAAATGCTGTGAAAGATGTTAGAGAATGTGTGGCAGGTGATCTGTGGGAACTTGGTTATTGAGTACTGCACAAGACAATACTATACTATGTGGGATAAGGAGAAATTCAGATGGGTTGGGTGGATGTTTTTCTCCTCAACCTTTCTGAATTTGTTGATGCATGTTTAAGAATCACTTTATGGGTTCAGAGTTGTCATGACTGATATTTGGGTCCACTATTCAATTCTATACTCTAATTGCTGTACACTCATTATTCCTTTGATGATTAATTATAGAGTAGCAGAGGAAATCAGGAGAGAACAGCCTCCACTTCTTCACTCTCCAGCAGCACGTCATCAAGTGGGCAGTCATGGGCAGATAAAGTGCGTGGTGCCCCATTATCTCTCCAGTCATCTCAGCTATCTCTCCAAGGTTAGGGCCATAAACCTGTCTCTATATTAGTCTTCATGTCTCTCTAGTCATCTCAGCTATCTCTCCAAGGTTAGGGCCATAAACCTGTCTCTATATTAGTCTTCATGTCTCTCCAGTCATCTCAGCTATCTCTCCAAGGTTGGGCCATAAACCTGTCTCTATATTAGTCTTCATGTCTCTCCAGTCATCTCAGCTATCTCTCCAAGGTTAGGGCCATAAACCTGTCTCTATATTAGTCTTCATGTCTCTCCAGTCATCTCAGCTATCTCTCCAAGGTTAGGGCCATAAACCTGTCTCTATATTAGTCTTCATGTCTCTCCAGTCATCTCAGCTATCTCTCCAAGGTTAGAGCCATAAACCTGTCTCTATATTAGTCTTCATGTCTCTCCAGTCATCTCAGCTATCTCTCCAAGGTTAGGGCCATAAACCTGTCTCTATATTAGTCTTCATGTCTCTCCAGTCATCTCAGCTATCTCTCCAAGGTTAGGGCCATAAACCTGTCTCTATATTAGTCTTCATGTCTCTCCAGTCATCTCAGCTATCTCTCCAAGGTTAGGGCCATAAACCTGTCTCTATATTAGTCTTCATGTCTCTCCAGTCATCTCAGCTATCTCTCCAAGGTTAGGGCCATAAACCTGTCTCTATATTAGTCTTCATGTCTCTCCAGTCATCTCAGCTATCTCTCCAAGGTTAGAGCCATAAACCTGTCTCTATATTAGTCTTCATGTCTCTCCAGTCATCTCAGCTATCTCTCCAAGGTTAGGGCCATAAACCTGTCTCTATATTAGTCTTCATGTCTCTCTAGTCATCTCAGCTATCTCTAAGGTTAGAGCCATAAACCTGTCTCTATATTAGTCTTCATGTCTCTCTAGTCATCTCAGCTATCTCTCTAAGGTTAGAGCCATAAACCTGTCTCTATATTAGTCTTCATGTCTCTTTTGTGTATGTATGCGTGTCCCTCGATCAATATCCTTTTAGTTTATTTCCCGAGCTTGTAAATTCATCGAGTCAAGAATTGTTTTTCGCTGAACAGAGTTGCTACATCAGTGGTCCTGGCTGTTCTTGTCAATACATATGTCATTGTAAAGTTCTCCCAGATTTTTTGTGGTGTCTCCTGATGCTACTGCCTTTTATGTTATGAATATTATTAATGGCTTGTCAGTTGCTGTCTGTTGGCAGATTGAGAGCATTTGATCCCATATATATCCCAGCAGATTTTGGTACTAAATGAAAATATTGAACAATTATACCATACAGGTATTTTGAGACTGTAGATGATTCATAGTTCAGGTAAACCCAACTGTATGTAAATGTTGACTCTGAAAACATGACTAATATGAATCGATGTTGCTTGAACAGATGATGGCGAGGGGTGGGAAGTTGTTCGACGAGGGAGGCGAAGCCATGGGGGCAGTACAGCGTCTCTGAACAGCAACAATCACTACAATCACTACAACAACAACAACATCAAGGACACACGCAGTGGCAGTCTCAAGATGGATGGTTAGTGATTAGTTTCCTTGACAAGTGTTATAATATAAGAGTTATTGATTGTACAGTACATGTATTGTTATTAAATAGTGTGTGTGTGTGTGTGTGTGTGTGTGTGTGTGTGTGTGTGTGTGTGTGTGTGTGTGTGCGCGCGCGCGTGCGTGCGTGCGTGCGCGCTACATTCATAAATAATTATTGGTATACTGTATATAGAAATATTAACATTACCAAAGACTCCTTATTCAAACTACACTATTTATTTCATGGTTGAATTACCTCACACGAGAGACACAATATACTGTACAAACTCTTTATATTCCTGGACTACTTTTATAACTTGGTGTGTATATTATATTTACAGGATTAATCATTATTCCATTCCCAGCCAAATGAGGTGTCAGGGGTGATATAGTTTTGAAGAAAATCATTAGTAAAGTCTGCTATGTAATGACAGATGAATTGCAAACACTGCCCCCTGATCTTATGTCTGCTTCACATTAGGGGAACACTGGCTGTTTTGTCCTAAGATGTGGAACAGTTACACCACTGATCTTGATAGGAAACATAAAACAAGTTCTGTTTATTAATATGAAGGTTATATTAGCCACTCACATACATTAATTCATTTAAGTTTATATAGTTTTATAAATCCTCTGTTGTGTATCTGTTGTTCCAAAATATCATGTGTTACTGGTATCAAATATGTTTATGGTACATGTTGTCTGAAGCTCTTATGAAGTCATGTTAATTTTATGGTATGTTTATAAAATGTTGACCTTCACTTGAGAGGATCATTGTAATGTAAACTTGGTCCCTTTTTTTTTTAATGGTTCCTTGTAATGTAATCTTTTCCCTCTTCAATAGGTAATTTTAATGTAATCTTTTCCTACATTCTTATTTAGGTCTTTTTGATATAATCTTCCCTTTCTTTTAACTAGGTCATTGTGGTGGAGAAATAAAAGGACGTTTTCATGTTCCGAGTTCTGCCATGTCCATGCCCTCCTTGGCCATAAGTGAGAGCAATGGGTCAAATGATGTGCCAAAGACCAAGGGAGAAACTAATGAGTCACATTCTGGGAGAAGCAGTCAAAAGAATAGTCAAATCTCAAAGAATCACAATTCAACTGCTAGCAAAAAAAGTATCAGTCAGGGGAGTTTGATTTGGTCAACAGACACTGAAGGGAAGGATGACAAAAAGAAGCAAAGTTTTAGTGGTGGCACCAGGAGGACCGAGGGAAGAAGAAATCGCAGAAATACAAAAAGTGTGGAAGAACTTCACAGAAAAGATGATTCCCTGGAGAAACAAGCTGGTGAACAGTTGAAAAGTGGACCTGAGAAGAACCCAAAACAGGGAGTTGTGAACAGTGAAGATGATAAGAGTGATGATTGTGTTGGTGTGAGAGTTGGTGAAACTGTTGTTGAGCCAAAAGTTGAAGATGTTAAGGCAGTTACAGATAATGAGTTAATGGCATCACAGAAAAGAAATAAAAGTAAACTATCTGAGAAGTTACCCGAAACAAATGGAGCTCTCGTTAGTCATTTGTGTGACCCGTCCATACCCGAAACCTCCGAGACAAGTGACGGCGACGATGATGAAGGAAAGGTGACTCGGGTCAATCTAGCAGCTGGAAATTCGGAAGTGGTAGTTGTAGAACCTGACCTTCTGCAGGCAGAACAAGAAAGCAGGTAGGATGATTAATACTGCACTCCACTGTGTTTTACTAGATTAATACTACAGTAGTCCATATGTCTTAGTAAGGGTAAAAGGATTTGTTTGGATGCATTTAACCTCATTGGTCCAATGGGTCGACATGGCCCTTTTATTTCTTATTTCTCGGTGAATATTTTCAAGATAAACATTATTTACATTACAATATGGGGGTAAAATGTTGGTAGCTATACGAGCATTTTTGTGAATTTTTTCTGGTTTCATTCCTGTAATAATTGATTGTGCAGTGAAATAAGAGAAAACAAACTGTGAGCCATTCAAAGTTTCCCATTTTTGTGCATTTATTTCCCTCCAATTCTTGGTGAGTGACTGCTCCGTCAGTAACACACTTACAAACACATTATTATAAATATCACTGGATTCCAATAGTCACTACCACACACCACCACTGTCTAATAATAATAATGGCTGCCCTAGTGTTCAAGGATAGCCGGCCCTAGGGCCACCTAGGTGTGAATTTGTTTAAGGTGTAGAAGCTGTCGCCTACACAATAACCACACCCTGAGTTAACGAGCTGTATGGCCCCGTGTCAAAGAATAATTTGAGAAGACCGACAACTCGCCAACTGACCATTACCCCGGAACACTATCAGCAAGTTGATTAACATCCAGGTTCCAAATTACTCCTGGGTAGACAGAGGCAAATGACGTAAAGAAACTTACCCATAGTTTCACCCTGCCCGGGGATCGAACCTGGGTCCACTCACTCGCGAGGCGAGCATGCTGACCATTACACCACAGGTCGCCACACACAGTACCGTACTCACCCTCTCACCACAACAATAATCATCCTTCTCATCACCTCAATACTCTCCCCAGCACACGGAAAAAAATATGAGTAGTACTAAGATTAGTGGGATCTCAAAGTGTTTCACCAGTGGCACGGAGCAGTACCTGTGTGTCCTTTGCACTGTTTGATGTTCTAGGATGTACAAGGTTCTCTGACTGTAAGGGTTAATGACTACAAACTACCATGACATTGACACTATCTGTTTGACCTCCCTAACCCTGAATTATAAACAACTACAGGTAGACCTCTTATAGCGGAGCCTTGTCTAACAAATTTTTGCATAACGGACCTGATTTTTTTTTTAAATAAATATAACTAACTCTGTAATATTAAAAACAAAATATCTGGTAAAGACGAAATTCCATCAAAAGTACAGTACTGTATAGTGTATAAACCAACAAACAAATCTGCCTCCATCTTGGTTTACATCCTCTCGGCCAATTAGCGCTCGTGAAATAAAAGTTTAAAATCTGCCAAAACTTAGCTCTTTTACATTTTACTGTGTACGTTAAGTTCAATTTTTTCTGCCCATCATGTCTAGCAAACAGCCTGTAGGTGAGGTTTGATAGCACAGGCACGGTGACCAGGAAAATCATTACAGGTATCCCCTACGTTACAGAAACTCAGGTTGCAGAAATTTGCCCTGACAGAATTTGCAAATTATGACCACTAAATTTTGGATACGGCATGCAAATTTGTCCTTACGTAAATGGGGTTATTTTTAAAAAATTTCAACACAAATATTGCGACGGAGAAAAAAATCACAAATTATAATTTATTTGGTGTGGATTTCTTGGTGTTTGCTGCCAAGTGTGGGTACACCAGCATGCCCACGCCAACTCGGTGTGTTGTTATCTCCCAGCATGTATGCTTGATCTCTCGACCCCAACTCTTGGATTTAACACTTAGGTATGTACAGTATCTTATTTAAGACTGTCCAGTGTATTACCCATATTCACGATGAGTGGAAAGGGGCCGTCAAGTGCAAGTGAAAGCCATGGTGCTAAAGGAGCCCATAAAAGAATTAGCTACGTTGGATATAAAACTTGATGTCTTGTGGAGTTTGACGAGGGAGAAAAAACTTATCCAGATTACAAAAACATTAAGGTTTGCTACATCTCCCAATAATTCCCATTGCACCACCTCATCTCTCACAGTATTCAGCATCATTTGAGTTGAGTGAATTCAAGTGTTTTGTGTAATATATTAATTTTATTTACTCCTCACTTTTACTGGTACAGTACACATTATTTTATGTACAAAAAATAGCTCCTTCCACACACAAACCATCCTCTGGGCAATGTGTGACAGTTCAGCTGCTTAGGTGGGTGTCACCCAGCTGATTTACATCAGGGAAGGGAGGCAGACTGGCGAGTAATCTACATATGCAGTTACAGCTCACTGCCTCCATACACAAGCCTTCACTTCCCACACATCACACCCATGCTCTTCATTTTTCCTATTTCATACTTTTACATTATAGTTTCTTTATTTCTAAGCCACATTAGAGTATAGTATGAGTTTTCCGCAACTTTTAAGATGTAACAATAAATGCGATGGCTGGGCTGGCAAGTCGGCGACGCAGTTCTAGCCCACCGCTTCCACACACGTTCAGTTCCCACACATTCACCCATGTACTTCATTGATCTTATTTTAAAGTTTTATGATATATTTTCTTTATTTCTAAGTGACGGCAGCATTTGGATGAAACCATTTGCTTAAACCGTTCAAAGCTGGTTCATTCATAAAGGTTTGTTACGTGCTCTGTTTACTACTACAAGAGATTTGCCAGATGTCCACTGGTCACAGCAGAGTGGGGCAGAATATTGTTCACCAACTATACATGTACAGGACAGGCAGACTATAAGTGTAATTTCATTCAGCTCTGCGGTTGTTATATCCTGGTCACACGTTGGGTCCCAAGAGCATAGGAACAAGACCATTAGATTTGCTTATGAGAAAGTTACTTGATCTTGACTCTGTTATGAGATAGGTTATTCAAATCAGTCCTCCATTTCATTTAAAGGGTAAAATCATTTTATATTTATACTTTTTTCTCTACATTTTGTAAACATAAGAAGGTTGTCGGTGTTTGGTGCCATATATTGTTTTACACTGAAAATAATAGAGAGAACATTCAAACTTATCTCTAATAATCTCAACTCATTGGTGGTGCATGATTGACTCTTGTGTGACTCATGTGACTGTATAAACCACTGTCCTTGAGTTATCCCGGATGTTACGAGGTTCATGTTACCATATTGGTCACCAGAGAAGGTGCTGCAACAACTGATCTCTCGTCGTTGCTGTGTGGGGAGGGGGAGGGGGAGGCTGTGTTGGCATGGTAATTTTTTTTTAGTTTCAGCACGAACCGTAAGTTTGGTTTGGTAACTAAAAACGCAAACAATATACTGTGTAGGTATATATATATATTTATTTTTTTCCCTTTGGCGACCATTAGGTAATACAGTACAGTATGGTCATTCTGTGTTGAGGATTGACTAAAATAAGTAAGATTGTGGAAGTACTGCACAGCAACCAGACATTTAGAAAGTATGGTGATAGGACAGCTTCAGAAAAAGAAAAAAAATCTGTACGTTTTAAAGAATACCAGATTCAGTTGTGCTCTTGGACTCATGACACAAACATGAAGATCTTTTGAACTAATTTATAATGGAATGATAGCATGGGTATATTAAAAAACTCTCTTTTTAATAGAATCGTTTATTTTTTGTTGCAGGAATTATGATAGCGATAGTCAGATGGATGAGGAGGAAATGCGCTGGAATGCTGCTGCTCTTGAGTCTGCTGTTCAGGAGGAGCAGCGCCTCAAACAGCAAATAGAAGAGACAGAAAAGGCTGAGATAAAGGTAAGATAATGTGTGTGATTACTGTTCTTTATCTATCTATCTATCTATCTATCTATCTATCTATCTATCTATCTATCTATCTATCTATCTATCTATCTATCTATCTATCTATCTATCTATCTATCTATCTATCTATCTATCTACTCTATGTTCAACTTCATGAGGTGCATCAGACTCACTAAGTTTGTAAGTCACTTGACATAATGTTAGGAATATGTATAAAAAGAATCTTTTCTAAAGTTAAAACAAACCTGAAATCTGACAGCATGACAGGATAATTATGTCATCACTGTGTATGGAGAGAAAAGAATGATGAGGAAAGAAGAAGATTACAAGTTGAGGTAAATTAGGAAGGTGGACATGGAGGGTAGAATTGTTGTTTTTTATTGTAGGAGTGATGCAGTTCAAGAAGTCTGAGTTGTTGACAGATGTATGGGTGGGTACACTGTGTTCTGAAGCAGCCGGTGGAAATATGGTAATGCTGTATGTCTATATGTGCATTTGAGTTGTGAAAATCAGTAATTGTATCTTGAAAACAAATCTAACTATGCCTGATGTAGACTTCTTGGGTGAGTTTGATAATCAGTAAAGTTTTTCCTTCTTTACCTGGGAGATAAGGTTGTACAGTACATGTATAGATGAGATGTCTAGGCAGCCTCCAAGAAGTATGGTTGAGGCCTGAGATTGTTGTGAAGGTTGATGGCATCTGCGGGCAATGTGGTTCAGGATCAGATTATTGATGGAAATTTATCAATATGTAAAAGAAAGAAAAAGAATAAACCCTTTGAACACCTGAGTAGAAATTGAAAGGCAATGCATGATGCCAACCTAGTGATCTATCTCCTCTCTCTTGGAAACTCTCAAGGCCTGATAATGTCTGGTGTCCTGGTGTTTGGGAATTTAAAAATGTCTCATAATTTAGATTGACCATTAGAACACGGAAGGTTGTCAAATACGTCTTTATTTTCCTAGTAATGAGTACATAATTTTCCTGTATTGAGAAGCTGAATCACTCTTAAGTAAAGGCATGGTGAAATATTACACCCACAGTAAATAAAAATAGACTAATGTAAAAGTGGGTCTCATAGGCATGCTGCATATCTCTGGTAGACAAGGTGTAGTACCAAAGTGTGTGGCAGACTGTGGGGACTGCTAGTTTGATTAATCTATCACCTATTTGGAAGACCTATTACAATATACCAATTTCTCTGATGACAATTTATGGTCTGTTTTAGAGAATTTACAGAAATTCATAAACCCCTGTACAGTATACTGCTGTTTTTTTATTTATTTTTTTTATTTTTTTTTTAAGATTATAGGAATTTAATGATTTACTACTTGTAATTTGGAAGGAAGTAAGGTTACATTTATTCAGTTTACTCTGATGACATTAGAGCCTCCCTCATGGAAACACCCAGTAGGGAACAGTTAAGCAGCTCTGTTTATTAATAAAACATTTAACACGATAAATTTCCAAAGTATTCCAAATCCGTGAGTGCAGGGATTACAAGTACTGGTTTATTACAGCCATTAATGGAAATCATCTTGAAAATAAATAAAGACTATTTTTTATTATAGATTTTTGTTTAAATTATTAAGTATGTACTGTAATGTATCTAAACAATACACCATACACTGTGTTTTACAAAACATTCATATAAACTGCTGTCTTGGAATTAATCATCAATGTTTAATGGCTGTGATTTCCTGAGAGCAGGTCTCCAGGCTGCACAACATCTTGCAAGCTCTCTAGTCAAAATGCTTATCCAGAGATTATTTCACACAACCTCTCCTCATGTCATTCTTGGCCTACCTCTGGCTCTCCTTTCCTCCACATTTTTTTTTTTTTATATACTCGTGCATTTCTTGGCCTGGTTGTTCTCCTCAGTTCTCTCCGCGTGTTTGAACTGTCCAAGTGTAGCTCTCTGGAAACCTTGTCACTACAGTAATCTCCACATGTTTGAACTATCCAATTGAAGCTCTCTGGAAACCTTGCCACTACAGTAATCTCCACATGTTTGAACTGTCCAAGTGTAGCTCTGGAAACCTTGCCACTACAGTAACCTCCACATGTTTGAACTATCCAAGTGAAGCTCTCTGGAAACCTTGCCACTACAGTAATCTCCACATGTTTGAACTATCCAAGTGAAGCTCTCTGGAAACCTTGCCACTACAGTAACCTCCACATGTTTGAACTATCCAAGTGTAGCTCTCTGGAAACCTTGCCACTACAGTAATCTCCACATGTTTGAACTGTCCAAGTGTAGCTCTGGAAACCTTGCCACTACAGTAACCTCCACTTGTTTGAACTATCCAAGTGTAGCTCTCTGGAAACCTTGCCACTACAGTAATCTCTAAAACCCTTCTTGCATCTTTCAACTTCATATAACGTGTCCGCCTCACCATCCTCGTTTCGGTTTGATCAAGTCTCTGTACGGTACAGTATGTCGCCTTTAACCCTTAGTCTACAATGGAAGGCTGTTATGTTTACCTACAGAGTGTGAGGTTAGGAAGTTGTATAAAAATTATCATTGTCCTTATAATAATGTGCCGTATGTTAGATGATTATATTACAAGGGATCAATACATTCCATAATACAGTATTTACATTACCTGGTAGTCGACTTGATCACTGTACTATTGTCTCGGCAACATCATCTGATGCTTTCAACACATCTGTAGCTATTCCAGAGCTACCAGCAGTCTTCTCATTCATCATTTTGTCAATTACTTTTTTCACCCAATCTTTCAACTCTGGTGTGGTCCCTGTACTGCTTCTTGGTTGTATCTGTCTCATGCGAACCCCTCACCAAGGGTAGTGTTTTCTCTAAGCATCCTTAATTTCCACTATAACAGTAACTACATTTCCAGAGTGTGACCTCTTAAGGTTTAGGATACCAAGTGTGGCCTCTAAAGGTTTAGGATACCAAGTGTGGCCTCTAAAGGTTTGGGATACCAAGTGTGGCCTCTAAAGGTTTAGGATACCAAGTGTGGCCTCTAAAGGTTTGGGATACCAAGTGTGGCCTCTAAAGGTTTGGGTACCAGAGAGAAAGATGTCTTTAAACCTGGATACTGTACTGTGTTAGGGTAGAAAAAATGGACAAGAGAATAAAGTATTAAGGAAGTTTAACAAGAAATACCATGTTTTTGACACACTTTATAATACGTACTTTACAGGGAGCTGGCATTCTTATCTCTTAACTTACACTCATAATTTTGTTTAATTATTTCCTTTTCTGGCTATTTCCTCCTACAATCCAAAATGTTTTAAGTTTATTATCCACACCATGATATATATGTGTGAATTTGTGGGTGTGTCTGTGTGTGCATGCATGTGTTTGAGTGTCCCTATCCTGCTACAGGTATATGGCAGTGAAACATGGGTCTCTTACAGAAGGCACCTCAAGGCACTTGAAAACTTTCACCAACATAGTCTATTTTCCATCCTCCGAGTTCGCTAGGAACACAAGAGAACAAATGCCAGTATTCTTGCTACCATTATCCATGAACAACTACGCTGGACTGGCCATGTTACCGGCATGAACGACAGTAGACTGCCAAAGTAGCAACTTTACAGTCACCTAACTAATAGTAAATGTAATGCCGGCGGGCAACTGAAAAGGTATAAGGGTAGTCTTAAGACAAACCTAAAAAAGGGCCTAATCGACCCCCTCACCTGGGAGACGATTACTCCACACCGTAGCGCTTGGAGGAGCACCACACGAGAATATGTTTTAATACTTTCGAGTTAGCCCGACTGCATACCGAGGCAGATGAGCGCCAACTCCGGAAAGACGCTGCCGCCTCTCCTCCCGCACTAGATGTAGCCCTCCATACGTGCAACATCTGTGGACGACTCTGCCGGTCCCATATCGCCGCTTTTGTCACCTCAGAACTCGCCAATATGGTGACATTATTAATGACTCATATCATTGTGTCATAGCTGGATGATCGTCATACAGTACTCGATTCCGAGTGACAGCAAAGTAGTAAGTAGTAGTAGTTTGTGTGTGTGTGAAAGTACTGTATTGGAGTCTACTTTACTTCATCTTCTTCACCACTTGTCGGGTTACTAGCTGCTCAGATGATTTTTCATTTCTATGTTTCACACTTTGGGCAAGTACTGGGCATGTATGGGTTCATGAAGGTACCTAAATATGTTCCAGTATTAGCCGAGTCTGGACTTTTGAATGCTTATAATTTGGTGCTGTCACAATGTTTTATTCTGTGGGTTCACAAGTATTGCCTCAATAAAGTTAGCCTTTGACAGTTTTTTGTACTGTTAGTTTGTTTATCATGATGCTGTTGGGGCCACCTGTTAACACATTTGTTTTGGTTCACAATATTGTATGTACAGTACCTACTATAGTTAACCTTGGGTGTTTCAAATGGATATACGTAATGAAGATTTGATCCAGGACATTTCAAATATTTGTCTCATTTGTGTTTAATTTTATGTATTTGAACATGTGGATCAGTTTTGCATATTGCAATTTTTTTTTTATGTCGACAAGAAAAACTAGGATCATTAGAGTAGATGGATGTAAACTGTGTTTTATATTGTACTTTGCCTCAGCACAACTTAGCATACAGTATAAAAGTCACAAGTTTCCAGTAACAAGTAGAGGCAGTCCCCGACTTACGACGGGGTTAGGGACCCAAATCCAGGTCGTAAGTCGAAAATGCTTACCGGTAAATAATACATAGAAAATCTGAAATGGGTGTCTCTTTTTCTTCTCAGCACCACAAAACTCTCACTTTTAAGCATACCAGCCATTTTAAAGTGAATTACAAAAAAAATTTTTGTCTGTACTGACGTCGGGACTCGAAAATACGTAATTTGACAATTTTGGTACGACTGAGGCGGTCGTATGTCCGGATGGTCGTAAGTCGAGGAGTACCTGTATAGTATACTTGTGAGTGTTACTTCTGCCGTAGAATTTTTTTTAGGATGACTGAATGGAATCACAAGTAAAGATTTGAAATTTAATATTGTAAATACAATGAAGCATGTGCAGGATGCACACTTGTCATAATGAAATAATTGGGACATATATAATGAGAATTCAGTGATTTATGCCTTTACAGTAAGGAAGTATTTACAAATTACATAACACATAAAAATATTTTGTATTTATAAAGTTTATAACACAGGAAGTTGTGTATACTGTCCTGTATAATGATCTTAACACACAAAAACATATTTTAAAAATTTATAACAAGTAAATAAGTTCACTCACTAACTTTGTACTCAGAGTAGAATGACCAGAAAAATAAGCACTCGGTAATTAACATAGTTGACTGTAATATATGTAGTGCTATATTTTCTAAAGAGTTCAGTAATGTACATAAACTAATGATTAACACAGCTGTCTTTGATATGTATATATTGTACTGTGCTGTATAGCTGCATCCTATTGTAGATTATACTCCAAGAGGAGTTTTATCTGCAGCACCATCCTTATGTGTAGCACCCTTGCCTGGCCTGTCTTCACTCACTGGGAAAACTCTTGGAGTATCCTGAGCCTCATGGTCCACACCTCTTGGTCCACACTGTCAGGTCCATGCCTCTTGCTCCACACTATCAGGTCTATGCCTCTTGGTCCACAGTATCAGATCCATGCTTCCTGGTCCACACTGTCAGATCCATGCCAAGCAAACCATATTTTTCACAGCTTCCGACTAATATGTGGTCGAAGCAGGTACGGTATCACTTAACACTTGTCACTTTCTTGTGGCTGCTGTAATAAAGTGATGAATTCCTACAAGTAGCAGAAGTACACACACAATTACTGCTGATGCGATGATTCCTATTACTGAACTTGTTAGCTTCATTGTGGGTGTAAGATCCTGTGCATCATAATCTGGGTTCATAAATTCATTCGATACCTTATACTCTTGTTGAGCATGTGATTGGCTACCTAGAATTTGGTAACGCGTTCGGTACACCTTAGTTGGGTTGACAATACTGTAGGCGGAACAGACAATGTGACTTGTGTGCTTTTGGCGTGGCACTGCTATGATTGACCTCAATTTTGTGATAACTCGATAACTCGCAGACTGGTAAGCGCTGATATCCTCGTACCATACGTAAACATGGGGGTTTTTTAGTGATGGTTTCTCATCAGGTGTAGGGCAGTGTAGTGTAACTTCATCCATGTCATTTTGAATTTCTAGTTCTTCAGGCGGGTCATCGACACTCACATCAACTACACTAAATGAAATAACCTCAGTTTTTATTTGTTTCCCACGATTTAAAGTGCAAGTTATTGTTCCATCTTTTTCAAGTGGGGCTGTGATCATGTATGTCATTAGGCATTCATTATGAAGAACTTGGTACTCTGTTTGTCTGTTGTTGCTATGTCTCTTTGGAACACTGTGATAGGTGTGGCCGGTTACACTGATAGTCAGATTTGCAGAAATGCGTGACTTTTGGTAGCACGCACCACACGCAACTGCAAATGGGACACCCCGAGGCAACTTCAAGTATCGGAGGGATGTTTCTTCCTTCGTGATGGGATGTCGTGTATTCCAAGATGGATGATAAAATTTGTTGATGAGCGTCAGGTATGGGGATTTAAGAAAGAAAGGTGCCCACAGTAGTGAATGCTTCGAGTCATCAACATGCAATGCTCTTGTCAGTTCAACAAAGCCACAAACCAGTATTACCAGGGTAACTAATATATAAAACCCTTTCATTGTTGAGCCACGTGATATTTCATATAAATATTTACGTACAAATTATTTATCTCGTGAAAGCTTCCTGTCACTAGTTCTTTTATCTTGGTTATGTTTATACCACTAATTAATTGTTTGTCCAGTGGTTGTAATGTCTTCTCCGTTTAGAAGTGACTGTGAGAAATATTACATGCTGTATTTATACTCAAGAGTGACTATGACGCCTTTCCTGAGGTGAAGGGTGTGGGAATCCTGTGAGGTATTGCGTCACTTGCTGTATTGTAGATAGCCCTTGGTAGCCCTTGGTTAGTCATTTCCTGACAGCTCTATCATGTGGTGTACAGTAATCAGTGTGTGATCAGTGTTTAATTTCATGGATCACTCTGCTTTAACCTGAAATTAAAAAAACTACTTTTATTATCTCAGAAGTTAGTCTTTTTTTGGTGAATCATCTACAGTATAGTATTCTAACACTAGTCGTAAAAGACCAAATACATGATGTAACTCACAATTTTCAACACTAAAATTTCTCAGAAGTGCATTGCATAATTTTATATTTTAACTGAATAAAAATGGGTTTAACTATCGGTAATCTTTCTGTAGTATGGTCTTTTGAACTTTGGTTGAACTCTTACCCCAGACTCAATTGGAAAGGAAATAAAATTGATTAATACTATGGAATACAAAACCAGGTGAATTAAAAGTTTAAAAAGTGACAGTTGTTCTTCCTAAAAGATTGTAACCAACTTTTGTATTATAATATAGTATTGTACAGTATTAGACTCAACAGAGAACTGAGATTTAGAACTTCCCTCTTCGTCACATTACAGGATACAGCCATTGTCCTCTTTCACATTCTCGCAGAACATTTCACATATAGAACAATGATTAATACTGCACTGACGCATCTATTATCAGGGATTCGTTGTATGTAGATCTGTTTATGACACATCCACAGACAAACAGGATTATGTTTTACCTTTATGTCAGTACAAACAACCTTTTTTGTTCACTCAGTAAACTTAAGCATTACTGTAAAGTCATGGTTTAGTACCGTACAGTATTTTAATTATTATTAAACACAACATTTTAAATTTGATTATATCATGTAGGTACAGGTAGTAATCATCTCTCATTACTGTATATGTAAAGACACTGCTACATTATACAATATATACACCTTTATAAGAACATACTGTCCAGTACGGTTACAGTCCAACTCGGCCCACTTAGGTAAATACTCGGACTAAAAAGTAAAAGTCAACAGATTTTTGCATGAATGATAAAAGTACAATGATATAAAGCAGCATAGATTGTAAGGGTGGGGGGGAATTGATTTGTTATTATTTATCTTTTCATTCTATCTTATTTATATATTACTGTACATATGTGGAAGAGGTGATCTTTTTTCTTTTATATGTAATTTTATATTTAGTTCACAATTAAAATCACTTTACCTGGAGACCTGACACAGACACCCTCACAAAATATGATGGTTGAGGATAACCTGATCTCGAGGTCTGAGGTTGACGAGTTCCACAACAATTTAAATAATGAGTTACTTAATGCACAAAGGCAGAACATACCATACATAAAACTCAGATCAAACAACAATGACCCTAAATGGATAAATAATTATTTAAAGAATATTATTGGACAAAGGAAGGCTACAGGTAGGAGAAGAAATCGTGAAGCTTACCTCCGAGATTATTATAAGGTATTGGCCAGTTGAGTTGAGACCGAGATAAGAAAAGCAAAGAGGAATAATGAACTGAAGGTAGCAAGGGAGGCGAAGTCAATCCCCAAGGGATTCTTTCAAGTGTATCAAACTAAAACACGAGAAAAAATTGAACCAACACCGGCGAGCTAACTGATAACGACGGAGAAATGAGCAATAAACTGAACATATTTTTCAACAGTTTTCACCACCGAAAATTTAAAACTTGATACCCGAGGCACTGACTATATAGTATACAGAGATACCTGTAGTGAAGAAATAGATTAAGCGAGATAATAGTGACTACCGGTATAGTGCGTTTTTCCCCAGCTGAGAAAAGATGCCCCGCCCCCTCCTCAAGAGTTACAGCTGATTGGCTGTTGCAAACCTGTCGGATTTAGTCCCGAAGTAATGATGAATTTCTAAATGAGTTTATTCATAATCGATGGGATGACCGTTTCTGACGAGAGAGATATTTAGCTAAATTATATAAAGGTGCATACTGTACATACATTCATTATTTCAAACATAAGCACGTGGGAAGTTTATCAGAAGTATTATACATGAATTAACTGTTAAACTCTGGTAGCAAATTCATGCTTTTGGAGGATGCATTTAATACCGATTTGCAAGAAGGGAGATAGATCACTATCCTCTAACTACTGTCCAATCAGTTTAACATCAATTGTAGGCAAATTTCTGGAAGCAATAATTTCAAACCCTATTCGAAATCACTTGGAGAAGCACAAGTTATGAATGTGAATCGTGGTTTATTGATCATGCTCTAACATAAATTCATAAAAATCTTCCTTCATACCGACTGAACCCTCGGTATTCACTCATTCACACACTTGGTATTTCAGTGAACCAAAAGAGACATAAAACATATCTCAAACTCATTCTTGAACCTCTAGTCAGCTACTTGGTTAAGTGTGCAAGGTGGGTCGAGTTGGTTATTTAAGATGGGGCCCAGTTGGAGGTACACCTACAGTACAGTATACTGTACTGTATATGAGTCAAACATCATTATGTCAGTAATGTTCATGAAATGCTTACTTTGGTTAAATCCTTGTATGGTAATATTGCTTATTCATACATGTGAGTGAATACTAATTTCCTTTATAATATCGTGTTTCTTAATCAAATATTGTGGCTATATAAGAATGGGGATTGAAGCACTAAATTCCTATGCTTTACATTATATTTCCTTATAAAGGGTCATGTTAATACAGTACCTGTACCGTATGTTAAACACTCAGCTGTATAAACTCTTTAATCCCTCAGTAATACTGTATACAGTAATGGCAGTTTCATAATCAGTTATACTGTACTGTAGTTAACATGTATACAAGAAACTCTTAACTGTTATTAAGTTGTGGCGAGTAAGGCCCCAGGCGTGTGCTCACGGCACCACTTCCCTTCAACACTGTACTCACCAGCCAGTGCACTGTGATATGATGCTCTCATTAATCCTAGGCAGGGAGGGGGAGGTGTCACCCTCACTTCTCCACCATCACCACCACAATATTGTACTTCCTTCAACTATTTAATATTATATCTTTTAAACTAGCTGTAATCTTTTTATTTTAAACATGCATCTACCTGCTTGTTGGGCATGTATCTGATCTACTGGTAATTGATAGGAATTTCAATACTTCCCCAAAATGCTTTTGTGAGTTATGCAAACGGGCAGGAAATAGCACAAACCTGACACCACCACCCACAGTATAGATCTCTATGTTCAAGTACGTTAGGGACTATTATTGTTATGTATGCCATTGAAGGTTCACGTTTATGTTTGGTTGGTTTTAGGAGGAATTATTTAAAATTATATCACCGTAAGTAATAATAATAGATAATAAAATATGTACCAATAATAAATAATTTTAATTGATAATAATAATAATAATTGAGATATATGTGGGAAAGGAGGGTGAAGTGAAGTGAATCATACGTTTTTTATGAAAACCTACAGTCTTAGCAACAAATTCAGTTCATTATACCTGCAATAATGGACATGCTCTGATAACTACCGAAATACCTTATACAGTATGATCTACACGCCAGTAACTGTGTGATTGCTATATGATGAGTCTGCAATCCTACAGTTACTATTAATTAAATGGTTCAAACAACGTATACTGGTAGGTACTATCGTGGACAAAAGTTCGCTCCCTGTAGTGAAACTGAGACGCGGGAATGAGTCTCCGAACTGACTTACCCTGATGGTTATCTGGTGCGGGTGTGCTGTGCTGTGCTGTGCGGGTCGATACTGCTTCAGTTTGGGAAGGAGCGAACTTTTGTCCACGATAGTACCTGTACCTACTTACAAACACTATCACCATTTTGAGAGTTCAAGAATTACTATATTTTCCGCATAACATCCCATTTTATATAGATTAAAAACACAATTACCTTTAAGAGCTGTCTGTGATATACCCAGACCAAGTACTCAATTCTGTGCGCGTGTGTACAATTCACTTAATTTATCCATTTACTCGCATACGGTATGAATACCTGCGCACACAACGAGACTCCCGTGTTCACTACAACACTGCTGGGTTGAGACTGCTTACCTAAGTTTGTGTGTCTCAGTAGACCAATAGTCCCTTGATCAAATTTCATCATCTGTGTTAAGGAGGAGTTTTTGGTGTAAGCCTCTGGTTAAACTATACAGTATAGCTACTGTTGTGGCCGTGGAGGGGCTCATTGTTACATGTTTATTTACTTGTTGATGGAGAAGTGTAGTGAGAATATGAACGAAACAAGCTTATCAGTCTGGTGAAGTGCCTTGGCATATATTAAAAGGATTACCGATTACCGTGTATATATATATATATATATATATATATATATATATATATATATATATATATATATATATATATATATATATATATATATATATATATTTATATTATGCCAAGTCAGAAAAGTTATATACAGGTACTGTATGTTCTTTGAGTTTAGAGCATACTTCTCAAGGCAGGAAGGTGTACGGTACATGTGGTAGCTTGGCATGTGTGAACAGCTCTGAGTCAGGGGTAAGTGAGAGCCTTATAAGGAGTTAAGTTACATGCTGAAGAAACAAACATGGCTCAGGGAACCCACGGCCACGAATCTCAAAGGTTTGTATGGTAATCTTTTTCCTCCACAACTGGCGATAGAGACTGCTTCAAGTTACTTAAGTATCGATTCAATTGTTTGGCCACACTGGCAACCACCTTTGTGCTGTTGTTTGGGTGAGTCAGTTACTGTACTTGGACTCACTTTCCGTAGTTAAGGATCCGTTTGGGACGAGTTATAACTTTTTAACCATACTTTATCTCACACACACACACATATATATATATATATATATATATATATATATATATATATATATATATATATATATATATATATATATATATATATATATATATATATATATATATATATATAGTACATAATCACTTGGGTTTGGTTAAAGTTTATCGTTGGTTATTGTTGTGATGATCAAGTAGTGGTATTTTTTCCGTAACTTTATATGCAATTAGGATAAAACGATTAATGTTTTATTTATTGTTGATGTAAAAGAGTCACGGATGCATCAAGTTGATATTTCACCAGTCCTACCTAGCAGTCACCTAGCTGCTGGCACTGTACTAACATCTTGCACTGTGCATTAGCATTCATTCCAAGTGATGATCACACCACTTTGTAAACACATGTGAATGGGGCCAGCTTCTGGTGGTGTTACCAGAGACACGAGGAAAAACAAGTAGAAGTGTAACCTGAGATTCGACGCTGATCCTAGGATTAAGGACCTAAGCTCTACATTAACGCATACAGATTTAGTCTTTTTTACAGGGGGCACATAGAGTCGTTTTGGGATGCCGTGTTTCGTTTACCGTTATTATTATGTATACTAATATTGCTAGACCGCTTCTGTTTGTTAATATTAAATGAATTATATATTTTAGATTTTATGTTTGGGTCTGCTGCTTTCTCGGCTGATGGTTGGTGAGGTACAGCTTATTGTGGGAGTTAACTGGACACCAATCTGAGGCTTCAGCGGCAACTGCCACCTTAGTGTGTTGCCAGATATTGTTTTTAATATAGGAGATATTACCCCTGAATAGAAATAGACAAGTGAATTGATATAAGTTTTACTTTGATCTTAACGTCTCGTATAATTTTTGTAGAGCTAATCTCTCGAACGAGAACCTGTAAAGGCGAACCCATAGATGGATGATGACGAAAACTTGCCGGTACAATACATTTCATTAAACATTAACTTCTCCGCCATTCACCTGCTTGGTAGACACCTTTGGTGTCATAATATAACAATAAACTGACAATTCGACTTTCAAAAATTACATGTCTTGAATACAGAAACATTTTAAGAATTGTTACATAAATGACTGCACTATAATGTCAACAGGAAGGAAACTAGTGCTGCGCATTTCCTGGTGGAGGCGTCAACAGACTTCCATAGCAGACTATTTTTTGTGTTCTTTGTTATTTTTTCTGTATATTAAAATATAAATATATATATTTTTTTCATAATGTTCTGCTTGTACGAGTATTAAATATACCCTGTACTACCGCCACTATCATTAAAACGTGTCTTCGTCTCCATCATCATAGCCACTCGCCTCCACCACTACCGATCCCCTCCATTGTTATGACCGGTCTCCACCACCACTCCCACCATTGTTATGAGTCTGTAACTACTACACCACCATTATTACAATCACCACCATTACCACCACTTTAAATAAGTCATTTCCACCCCTGCCGTCACAACGCAACCACCTATCCACATAGTATCCGCTCCACCCTCACCTATCCACATAGTACCCGCTCCAGCCACCTACCTATCCATCTCGTTCCCGCTACGCCCACCCACCGACCTCTCCGTCAATTACACTCTCCACCCACCCACCTATCCATCAATTACTGGCTCCACCCACCCACCTCGTACCCTCTCCACCCACCCACCTACCCACCCATCTTGTATCCGCTCCACCCACCCACCTATCCATCTCATACCCGCTCCACCCACCCACCTATCCATCTTGTATCCGTTCTACCCATCCACCTATTCATCTGGTACCCACCCGCCCGCTCCACCCACCCGCTCCACCCACCCATGCACAGTCAGCTACCTTACCACCCCTGACACCCACCATTCATACAGTCGGGACCACTGAACTGTTCATGCCACTTAACTTTATCACCATCACCACCTAACTTCATCACCACTACCACCACCTAACTTCACCACTTCTAACTACATCACCACCACCACAACTTCATCACCACCACCACTTCATCACCACCACCACCTTCACCACCACCACCATCTTACTTCATCACCACCACTACCATCTAACCATCACCACCACCACTAACTTCACCACCACCTAACTTCACCACCATCTTACTTCATCACCACCACTACCACCACCTAACTTCATCACTACCATCACCACCTAACTTCATCACAATTACCAATTAACTACACCACCACCACCACAACTTCATCACCACCACCACCTAACTTCACCACCCACCACCACCTAATTTCATCATCACTACCACGACAACCTAACCATCATCATCATCTTATTCTTCATCACCTATAATAACTGTTTCACCACTACCTAACTTCGGTGGGTGTTGGAAAGAATTGCATCACTAGTGCTTACGCGGAACTTTTCTGCCTTAACCAGCAACAATATCCATCTCTAGGTCACGTACTCCACGGTTATTTTCTCAAGTCAAGTGTTTTGAAGCAGTCAGGCTCCCAAGAACAATGTCAGGTAACCGAGTACCCGTGCATAAGCTATTCTGCCTATGATAGTCTTCAACATGACTTAATAAGTGAGGTCCTTCGATTTGATATAATGAAATATAGATGGATGGATGGGCAGATAGATAAATACTCAGTTTAATCATCATATAAATTTACAATTAATTCAACCTGCATATACACAATGTAGGTATACAGATCAGCATTCATACAGGTAAGTGACTTCTATACGGTGTACAGTACGTATGTATAGTTGCCTACAGAAGTAGTGGCGCCACGATTCCGTACATGTGGTGCCATCATCGCAGTGATGGTACGCGTTCCAACTATTATGACGGAGACGTATTTATAACAGGGCTGCTAACAGTAAACTCACGAAAGGAAGCATTAAAGCCTTATGAATAAAGAATTAATGAAATAATGCAAAATAATGTGATAAGGTTGCCGGCTGTGAACTCACGTAAGGAAGTATTAAATTCTTACGAAATAAGTCTTAATGAAATGAATGCTAGGTAATGTAACAGCTGCTGGCTTTAAACTCGTGTAAGGAAGTAAATTGTCTTAAAAATGAAGTTATTTATGTCTTAAGAAATGAAGCTTTGATGAAATGATTGCTGAGTAATGTGTCCAGCTTTTCAGTAACCAAGGATTAGGGTGTTTTAGTCCTTGTCAATAACTGCGTATTACTCTACGAGTCTACGTCAACATGGTGAGTGATGACATTTCTTGGATCTAAAGAATATCCGGTCTACAGGACTATTTTAAGTAAAAAAAAAAGTAAGTAGTTATGCGTAGCTATGTATAGGGTGAAAATATTTTAGTACACAGATTGAAGTCATGATGCGCATTTTACGGATCTTATTACTAATACTTGAGATTTATTGAAAAATAGAAAACCAAGATTAGTCACATGCCGAGAGAGTGGGAGAGGCGATACGATATGTAAGGGAAGTGTCTAAAATCTGTGATATGATGGTGAAACTTGTGGATTTTGAAATTACTGTACTTAAAGTTTTCCAACCCAAAGCTAGGATTCCATTCACGCGTTAGCGCCCAAAATAGATCACATTGACATGTACACGGTTGTTTCCATTGGCACGCGGTTGCGTCAGCGTTATGCGTTTACAGTACATTTCAATCGCTCCTTGTAGCGATTGAAAACTCAAACGCACTGCAAACGCGTGAATGGAATCCTTTTCCAGTAAAATCTGTACAGTACTCTCTCTTGTTTCCCCTTTGTACAAACCATCTGATTGAAGTTGCTATTAATGTTGCAATAATAGTGATTCTAAACAAGGAAAAACAGGATTGAAGAAATTAAGTCCAGAAGAAGCAGTTGAATGGAAAGAAGAGGAACTGATAACGTTATTTACAACGTAGTAGCATTTAGGGCGGAGTTAATCCCTCGGCACTTGGCGGTGACCAGTTACGGCTATTCATTATCATAGCACTAATGCAATGAAAATTCATTGTAATAGAAATTTAGGATTAGCTTTGACTTAGGAGTTTAGACGAAAATTAAGAAATCATACGAAACATAGGAAATTTCAAGTTTTGTTCCAGTGTGCACCATACGACACTTCGACCAAGGATAGCCAACAAAGCCATGAGCTACTTGTTTCCAGTTATTAGTTGGAATAGCCGGTTATAACAAAGTGTTCTCTAATTTGAAAGTCAGCCTTGTAGGGGGCCTCAGTGGCAATGTGGCTAGTGCATGGACCAGGGTGAAACTCATGTCTGTCTGGCGTTTAACCGTCACGTAGGCAGTGGGCTTGTGTGCATGTTACGTCAACCCCCTTCTGTGAATTTTTCTGGGCGCGTGTATTTCCCGAGTTCCGTTATATTGGCAAGTTATTGTTGTCATTAATGAGTTTAATTTTAATGTAAAAGGTTAAAGTCAAACAGCCCTTCCTTTCAACCAAAACCTTAATTCCCCATCTATTATATTGTAGATTTGTAGTTACGTTGTGATTTGAATGTCCAGGCCTTTGGGGATGTAAACGGTGAAATGGCGTGACACTTCCATTACCGTAACAGCATCCTCCTGTGTCATAATCTGATAATTTAATCGTATTGTTGTGTTTCTCCCTTTTCTCTTTTGATTATTATTCTCACATTCTTCTCCCTGCGGTCATTCTTCATCCTTCACACTGACGCATCTATCACCTTGCTTCCCTGTCCTCTGCGTATTTGGACAATCTAACGTGTAACTTCATCACCACCACAACTACCGTGTAACTTCACCACCATAATTACCATGTAACTTTATCACCACCACCACCGTGTAACTTCTTCACTACAACTACCGTGTAACTTCACCACCATAACTACCGTGTAACTTTATCACCACCACCACCACCACCGTGTAACTTCTTCACCACAACTTCCGTGTAACTTCATCACCACAACCACCGTGTTACTTCACCACAACCACCGTGTTACTTCATCACCATAATTACCGTGTAACTTCATCACCACCACTAATTTCATGATGACTACCACCACTGTGTATTGACTAACGTAAGTGTTTGATCTTGCTTGCTATGTTTGGTTTGTTATCTGTAGTGCAAACTTTACCACTTTATTGTTACGTCCAAGTGTTAAATGTTTTCGTCCTGTCAAGAATATAGTGTTGATATTCTCTCAGTGTGATGTAATATTGTGGTGGTGATTATGGTGTGTGTTGATGGGAGTGGTGATAGTGATGATGGTGATGTACAGTACACGAGGATGGTATAGTACTATAAAACCAGATAAGTACAGTGCAATATAAACATTTTCGGTACAAGCGTATAAAGTACAGGCCCAAAATAAATCCCATAGGATTAGGCGCAGCATAAAGATCGTACAATACATAACCTAATCACCTTCTCAATTAAGCTCTCAACCACTGCATCATCACAAGTTAATCCGGTCATGTTAACTCCTCGTGCCCATTAAAACGAACGGATAAACGTATATGCATAGTTGGGTGCACTAGTCTATGCACTGAACTGATAAACTGCCCCTTGGTGATGGTTGAATCAGTGTTGCAATGGTGGACTGTCCGCCGAGTTAAGTCATTGTCATCTCTTGTTGTTTACTGTGACTGTATTGGCCTTTTGATCACGCACACCATGGCAGCCGGATTTCGTTATATTTAGTATTAAAAAAAATAATAATAGTTGCCACTCAACAAATGTATATAGAAGACATTATTTTCCCCATTTCTCTAGGCATTCACAGATCACCATGTACTGTATAGACAAGGTGTATTCTCAGTATAATTGATTCATGCTTATGCCACGGTCACAGATGGATGATGATGACTGCGAGGAGGATGGAGGTGACTCATTTGAAGCGGCGGGCAGGGCAACCTCACCCCTTACACCACCTTATGACAGCCTCTTGTCAACGCTCAGCTGGGCAGATCAGGTGCGTTGTAGCGTTGACGTTTGGTAGTGCACCCGTAGGACTGTTGTTGTAAGGACACAATACTTTCTAATGTAATAGCTGTAATGTATTGTAGTATCTATATTACAGTACTTTTATTGTAGTCCCGTACTGTACCTGGAAGACAAAGGTTGTAGTCCCCCAAAATGATGATGGTGTTGTTCATATACAGTACAGTACTCTTATACCTGTAGTAATCTTATATTAGTACAAGTGGTACTTCTATCCTACTACTGTACCTGTAGTACTTCTGTATGAATACCTGTATCAGCACTTGTAGTAATGTTATTGTACATTAAGTATTTTATTATAATACATGTACTGTACCTTTTTTAGTACCCATAATTATTTTGTTGTATAACCTGTAGTACTCTTGTAACACCTGTGGTACTTTTTTGTAACTCCTGTAGTACTTTTGTTGAAACACCTGTAGTACTGTGCTTTTGTTGTTATGAGAGGGGGGAGGGTGTGATGGTCGTGTGTGTGATTGGTGGTGAAGGAGTGCACAGTTGTCATGTTTTTGGTGATAACAGAGACTTAAGAACAACAGGATGCTACTTGAGATTATACTTACCACGTTCCTCGCTCTTGGAATACTGTACTACATATTGTAATGTACATAATTTGTTTGGTATCCTGCTGTTTTAGGTTCTGCTGCCATCTCAAAGGTTTATTTACATTAGCTGTAGTTGAATGATGCTGTGCCAGTAAATAGGACACAATAATAAACAAAGAACAGAAATACATATCAATTTAGGTGAAAGGAGTTGGATGGTTGCTGATATATTGCTCTGCAGTTCTTGATCACATTGTTAATGCATAGACAGTACATAAGAGCATAAGAATGGAGGAAACTGCAGCGGGCCTATTGACCCATACTGGGCAGTCCCGTTTACACCCAACCCCTATTGCTCATATAAGCATCCAACCTATGTTTGAAGCTATTCAGCGTATTCGAGTTAATGATGACATTTGGTAGCTTATTCCATTCATCCACTACTCTGTTTCCAAACCAGTGTTTACCTATTTCACGCCTAAATCTAAATTTGTCTAATTTAAAACCATTGTTACGAGTTCGCTCCTGGTTGGATAGTTTGAGTACCTTTGTAATGTCCCCTTTGTTTAGCCCTGACTTCCACTTATACACCTCTATCAGGTCGCCCCTCACTCTACATCTCTCGAGGGAGTGCAAATTAAGATGCTTTAACCTGTCTCTATACTCAAGGTTCCTAATGCCCGGGATTAGTCTTGTCATTCTCCTCTGAATTCTTTCCAAGGATTCTATATCCATTTTGTAATACGGTGACCAGAACTGAACTGCGTAATCCAGGTGTGGTCTCACAAGAGCAAGATACAGTTTTAGGGTGACCTCGCTAGTCTTGTAACTAACACTCCTTTGTATGAACCCAAGTACTTTATTAGACCTGTTGCGAGCAAAAACACATTGTTTACTTGGCTTAAGGTTCCTACTTATCATTACTCCTAAATCTCTCTCGCAGTCGGATTTCTCTATGGCATCGTTGTTCATCTGGTATCTGGTTTCCCTGTTTACATCTCCTATACTGAGTACTTTACATTTGTCCACATTGAATTTCATCTGCCATTTTTCAGACCAATTTGAAAAATTTGTTTAGATCTTCCTGTAGTTTTGTGGAGCCCTCGTCAGATTTAATAATATCTCCTATTTTAGTGTCGTCAGCAAATTTGCTTATGTTGCTGTCTATGCCGATATCTATGTCGTTTATGTATATAATAAATAATAATGGTCCAAGTACTGAGCCTTGGGGAACTCCACTTGTGACGTTGCTCCAATGGGACTTGGTGCCATTAATACTCACTCGCTGTTTCCTGTCCTGTAACCACGCCCTAATCCATTTAAGGATATTACCTTTGATGCCATGCGCTTCTACCTTTCTAATTAGTCTTTCGTGGGGGACTCTGTCGAAGGCTTTGCTAAAGTCGAGATATACCACATCATAATTGTGCCCCTCGTCCACCGATTCGAAAACAGATGAAAAGAATGTTAATAGATTAGTTAGACATGAACGTCCGCTTGTGAAGCCATGCTGGGAATCATTGATCAATCGGTGCTTCTCCAGGTGATTTCGAATAGAGTTTGAAATGATTGCTTCCAGTAATTTGCCTACTATTGATGTTAGACTGATTGGGCAGTAGTTAGAGGATAGTGATCTATCCCCCTTCTTGAAAATCGGTATTACATTCGCTATCCTCCAGGATTCTGGTACTACACCTGTTTTTAAGGACATGTTAAACAACTTTGCTCAGGGCATACTAAGCTCTTCCTTACATTCCTTTAATACTCTGGCAAATGTCTCATCGGGACCTGGTGACTTATTAGGCTTTAGTTTGTCTATTTGCTTACTAACATCGTTACTAGTCACTACTATCTCGCTTAATTTGTTTTCTTCACTATCTCTGAATAAAGTCGGTGCCCCGGGTATCATGTTTAAATTTTCGGTGGTGAAAACTGTTGAAAAATATTTATTCAAATTATTGCTCATTTCTCTGTCGTTATCAGTGAGCTCGCCGGTGTCTGACCGTATTGGTCCAATCTTTTCTCGTGTTTTAGTTTGATACATTTGGTAGAATCCTTTGGGGTTTGTCTTTGCCTCCCTTGCTATCCTTACCTCATTATTCCTCTTGGCTTTCCTTATCTCGGTTTTAACCCTACTCGCCAACACCCTATAATAATCCCGGAGGTGAATTTCGCCACGATTTATCCTTCTACCTATAGCCTTCCTTTGGCCAATGATGTTCTTTAAATAATTATTTATCCATTTAGGGTCATTGTTGTCTGATCTGAGTTTTTTGTATGGTATGTTCTGCCTTTGTGCATTAAGTAACTCACTATTTAAATTGTCGTGTAACTCGGCAATCTCAGATCTCGTTATCAGGTCGGTGTCATCTGTCAGGTTCACGGCCAAGTGCGACACCCCCTCTCTCAACTGCCTCTTTAAACTGTCAAAGTTTGCCCTTCTGAAATCTGGGACTTGAATGGAATTTTCCTTACGTCTGCCCTGAAAATCTAACTGGAATCTAATTTCTTTGTGATCGCTGTTTGCAAGTTCGTTCCCTACCTCGACATTGCTAATGAGGTTTTCTCTGTTTGACAGAACTAAAACTAGTATATTATTACCTTGGGTGGGTTCGGTTATATGTTGACTTAGAAAACAGTCCTGGATCGTCTCGAGAAAATCCTCTGATTCTGAGTTACCCGTAAGGTCAGTCCAATCTATTTGGCCAAGGTTAAAGTCGCTTACTATACAGACTTTGTTGTGTATGGAAGCCCTGCGCATTTCATCCCAGATAAGTCGCTCATTGACTCTATCAAGATTGGGAGGCCTATATTAGCCCATACAGTACTGAACTCAGTATCTACTGTATTAGTTTTTAATTATTTATGTGTCATTATTCTGTTGAATAAGTTTTCATGAAACTCTTAGCTGAGTTACTAAGTATCAAAAAAAATTTATCACATTTATTAGGTTGATGCAATGGAGTCATTAGAGGAACTGCGCCATCCTGGCCGTGTTCTACACATCCATGAGAAGCTGTCGTCTCCGTCAAGAAAACGGTCATTGTCAGAGAAGATGAGGCGCCATGAGGAGAGACTGGCCAAGGCCCAGGAACTTCGTGGAAATCTTATACAAGCTAAAACTGATAAACTAAAGGATTTGTTTAAAAAGGTATAATTTTGTAGTCCTCTGAACTATAACGTAGGGAAATACTGATAAATCTTATTGTAACTTAACAGTGAAGTGGAGATAATTTAATTGGTATGTGTATGGGACTGGGCTTCTGTGTTACTTCTCTTGAGAAACACACATAACTGCTGCCAGAACACTTAAACAGAGAGGAGTAGAGTTTCTCTCTCTCTCTCAATTCTTTGGAACCTTTTCAATTAAAAGTTCATGTGACAGCAACATTGTGGCTTGTGAACAAACAGGAACATGACAGAAATTGGTCATGTCAACCCACAAAGGGTTGCCATTATCCTCATTTAGTATGGCTTCTTTTCCGTCTTCCAGTATTAGCTTATATTTTTCCCAAAAGAGAAAATTTTTACAAATGGGAGAGAAGCCTAGGGTGGTTTCAATGTGAATAACTCACTCACTCGTATCAAAACACTGTAAAACCTTCAGTTTGGTACATATGGTAATTTTTTCATAGTTTTCATTGTGTAAGGCACTTCACTGTCACATGCTTGGGTGTTGTGGGTGAATTGGTCAAAAAGCATTAAATCTTACAAAATCCTTCATATACCATATCTATAAGGCAAAAATACAATGCAATGATGGTGGGGCAGGAATGCTCCCTGGGTCATCCATTCAGTCCTCTGCAATGCAAAGTAGTTACAGTACAGTATATGTTTGCAGATGATTGCCAGTGACACTACTGTTTAACAAAACTTAGCAACACTAAACAGACACCTTTCCTTATTTATAAGTGACTTAATAACAATAAACTGGGAGATGACAAACATGGACCCACTGTACTGGCATGTATCTGAATCTTCCCAATTTTGTTACTATAACAGTTAGCCATTGTTTTTAGACTTGCAGCACAAATTTAAAATTAGTTTTGTTATTTATCTAACTGCTGTACCTAATTTACCTAATAGTCACCCCACATAAAGGTGACTAAAACAGAGGAAGAAGTCCAGTGACCTGTGTAAGAAGCACTCTTTTGAAGCCCAGTACAGTTTTGTAGAACACCATGACTTCTTAGCAAGCGTAAAGCTGTGTTCTGTATTATCTCTGTCACACATTTTTAATTGCTTTGCCAGTAAGGAGAAAACCGAGGAAATGATATGTGTAGAGGTTGCACCCCTACACTAACAAACACTATTGTAAGGTACAGAACAGAAGTGTTATCCCTACCAACTATTAAGCCATTCTGTTGTCTCACAGATTGAGGAGGTACGACAGGATAAAGAATGTCTTTTGGACAAGAAGAGAGAGTTGTTTCAGCGGAAGATGGAGCGAGCAGAGGAAAAACGGAAGCAGTTCCTTCAGGAAATAGTAAACAAAGCCCATGATGAAGAAAACAAGGCCAAAGAAATAGCATTTATTAATGGCTTAGAAGCCCAGAACAAGTTGCATGATATTATGCAACAACATCAGGTAAGCATTGGTCTCCCATGAATGTCATCAACATTTTACAGCTTTTTTCTGCATTTACTTGAATTATTCATTTTAATATTTTCTGATTTGTTATTCTCCCCTGATTAAATTATTTTTATTGAATGAATGAGATTATCAATTAGAGTACCTGTATTTATACTCATAAGATGGTTGCTGGGATGCTGTTTTCGATAGTCCTTTAGATGCTACTTATTACCAGTACTTAGTTACAGCATTTTAAATAATATTACTGTTTTTAATAAAATTTGCTCAATACATTTATGCCCTAATGCTCCTTTACCAAATACTGTACAGTACAGCACAGGCTTCGGTGCTATTTGCACCTGTTTGAAACTGAGTCAATGGTCCAAACTGGGTTGTAAATGGATATACTGTACTGTAATGCATTCTATTATGGGATGTGGTTCATCAGTTGCCATGAGCCTATACTTCTCAGGTTATGTTGCTCTCTTCCTTTAGGACCTTTGGAAACCCTATTGATTAGTATGCATGAGTAAAGTTGTACTCTGTGTAATTGAAAGACTGTTGGGTAATTAATTTGTGTGTTTCTGAGGATTCTAGTGCTTTTATTGGAGGACAAGCTCTTGTTACCCTAAAGCTTTACATTCATGTTATTTTGAGAGAACTAGTTTGTACTGTTTAAGTGAATCACACAATTAATGGTTAAGAAAAGTAGCTTTACACACCATTCATTTCTGCTTTTTAGAATAGTCACTCACTAAGAGATTATTGTAGGAACTAAATACATTGAGTTAAATTATTTCCACAGTTTTATTAAATCTTAGTGGTAAAGGTTTTATCAAATCTATTCTAAAGATGAAAAAGGCACTTAACATAAATTGTAATTGCCAAGTTTTAGCATCCTTCAAAAGTTCTCCACATTGTTTTTAATTAACAATTAATGCCTCTATTTTATGTATAGTGTATAATCTTGTAACAATATTTCAAATGTGTATGGCTTTCCAATGTGCTTGAATTGTACATTTTTGTTAAATTACCAGCCATAATTTCCTCTCCTACACATTAAATATTGCTTTCCTTGTGTATGTTATTTTCATCATGTAGTATAGCAATTATCTTTTTCATGTACTCAGAGCCATGAGTCACGCCTGGCAGACATGGCCGAGGAACGGACACGTAGACAAGAAGAAAAGGCTGCTAAAGAAGTTGCAGCTCAAGAGAGACGCAAGGTGCTTGAGGCAGAGAGACAGGTGGGACGATCTTGATGTATTTTACTTAGGGGGATTGCAGGTGTTGTCATGTTTTGCACTACTGTTGTGAAGGTTGCTGTGGTCCTGGGTGTTGATGGTGTTTTACAAGAAATATGTCTACAGTGCAATAATTTGATTGTCATGCGCTCTCCACTTGTGTCTCAACATCAAATGCTGGTACTGCTTCCTATGTCTCGGGTGTCTCTTTCAATCAGTCAATGTATTTCTATATCTCTATTTGGGTCAATTTCTCAGATACTTGGTATTTCTTGTACAAACACCCTGATATGTACTCAAGCACTTTTTCACATGCACTCGCAGGAACGCACTTGGAGCATGCGAACACATGCATTGTAATACAGTAGTACCTGACTTCTCACAGCTCTCCTTGACTAAGTTATGTATGTATGGCTTAGTGTTTGAGGTAGGAAAGGGTGAGTTTTATTTTGTATTTTTCTCATAATTATTTAGCTATTTCTTCCTTACCCTTTATAAGAATATAAAGCAACCTTCTAATGTCTTCTTTCCACCATGCTTTTTATAAATTATTTTTTGTTCCTTGTTTTTACCTTGATGGCTGCCTACACTCTGGTCAAATGAAAGTTATTTAATCACTTAATCAAAATAAGTGGCACAGTGGTAATGCACGTGCCTTTCACCCTTGCATCCTGGGTTCAATCCCCAGCCCAGTATAGATGTGAGAAGGGTGTTATCCCATGTAACTCTACCAAACACAGCAGATTTTCTCCAGGTTCTTTGGTTTCCTCCTGTACTAACACTGGTTAATAAAGGTCATAGCAAAGAAACCAGTTGCCTAAATGGCTAGTAAACTGATAAATGGTGAAATGAAAAACAAGTGGTGTACAGTATTTGTATTCATTTCTCTCTTGACTTTTCTTCTATACTCAGGATGTCTACTGGTCGGGAAAAACAGGGAATTTTACAAATGAACCTGGAATTTTATGTGAATTCAGTTCAACTTCAAAATATTGTTATTTTGGCAGCAATCTTACCATAAAGATGTACTGTATAATAGATAAATAATTAAACTTTTAGGAACACATTCCAGTAAATAGTTCACTCCAATAACATAATTGTTTGTGTACTTGTCATATTTCATGTTAGTGATCAAATAACCAAATATTACAGGTTATAGCTACTAATTCTGCAATGAGTATTGTCAGAGATTAATTGTTCTTATAATTAAGTGACTTTATTTAAGTAGATTATTCCACATATTTATGATGAGTCATATACAGGGTGTAGGTGGATCAGGAATGTGATTTTTTGTTTTTTGCCAGATTTTTGGCTTTTTGGAATGTCCAGGTTCGATCCACGTGAATCGCGTAAATTCGGGGAGAAAAGTATGGAGGGTGGGGGGGGGGGTGTCAAGGTCTTTGCCGATGTTCATCATTGGGCTTGGGGTGGGTCCCGAAAGGGTCTTCAGTTTCTTCATTAATATCATATACCTGTACATCATGTTTAATTTTCCCAATAGTATATACATATTATTGAAAACCTCTAATTTTGTTAATCTGTTGTAATAAATACTGAATTAAGGAACCTGAAATGTTTAAAACTTAGACCTGGAAAACCTGGAAAAGCCAGGGAATTTTGTTTTGTCTGGTCAGTAGACACCCTGATACTCTCCTGTACACTCAGTCTAATAATCAGGCAGAATTAGTTTTTCAATTTAGTGGCTTAAGTTGTAAGGGCATCTTGAAAGGAACCCAGAATATGAAGAAAACATCAGGAATTAAAACTTTGTCAGTGTATTGGTCTAACAGCTGAGGTTAACAGATTATATGAGAAAAAAAAATAACACGAAAATAGTATGTGGGGGAATAGTTTGAGTGGTTTGAAGAGTTAACTGAGATTATTTGTGAGAGAGAGAGAGAGAGAGAGAAGCACTGTATTGACAAACTGTGATTGCATGATTTACTTCAGCATTCAAAAGAGAATTTGTAAGATCATTTTATGTTAAGTGCACTGTACAGCATTAAACAAAGGCTCTGTATTAATCTTATGTTTAAAGTTATAGGCCGGGGAATTTTGGCCATAAACAGATGTTAACTGTCTCTATTCGGCAAGACTTTATTATTATTATTATTATTATTTCAGGCTCGAATGGCAGAGCTGTGTGAGAAACGGCGTCGGCGTTGTGAACGTATTGATCGGCAGCAGGCAGAACGACGTGAAGAACTGTTGGAGCAGGCCAGAGAGAAGGCCCGAGACCGCGAAGAGAGACTGTCGGCTTTGCAGCAGGTTAGTGTACATGAGCGTTACAATACTGTACAATAATATGGATGAATACGCGATTGAGATAGTTTTATTTCTGTCTTAGAATTACCACAATCCAACTTCAACAAACCTTCCTGAAAGTGTTACAAGGCATGGCAATGGCAGAGTTGACTATATAACACGTGAATTGATTTCTGTAGCTGTGCTTCATGCAACCAAGTATCCCTTGATGACTCTATCTCTCCCCTATTCCTCCTACTTCTCCTCTCGCTCTTTTTTTCTTCCTTCTTCCTCTTCCCCTCCTCTTCCACTTCTTCCTCCTCCTCCTCTCTTCCTCCTTCTTCTTCCTCCTCCTCCTATCTTCCTTCTTCTTTCTTTTCTTCTAATTGATGATCCTTACAACCAGATTTAGATATATGACAGTGACACTCTTACACCCATTACAGTAACACTAATGCTTCTTGCCACAACAGTTGATGTTGGTTTAGTTGTGTTTATATGTACTTGAAGACATTTTTACTATAAACATTATTTTCCTTGGCTTTCTTTAATACTGTAGCGATATGAGTTTTAAGTTCCAGTTATTGTGTAAGTGGATGAATAACAAAGACCAAGTGTAAATTAAAGGAAGCGAAAACAATACAATACTGGTATCAAGTGTTTGCCTTGCTGAGGATATGGATAGGCAAGGGAGGAGACTTTCACTTGATAGTTTGCTTATTAAATTGAATAATTATTTTAATAAACGAATTATCCTTCCCTAAAACTCTTCTGTACAGTATCATGGGTTTATTATTATTTATACTACAGTAATCTCATCTATAGTTTACATGTAATTGATCATTTCTTGTTTCATATATACACAGAAACGATAGACTAAGCATCCTCATGAGAAGACATTGTACAGTACTCTCTGTTTTTATTCATGGCATCTCTGTTCTAATTCTTTTCTTTCCTCTCCCTTCCCCCCCAGAAAAACTTAGCATGATCTGTAAATAATAAAATGAGGTTACAGGTGCCTTATTGTGGAAGGGGAGCACCATAGTAGAGCACTTATCTTAAGTAACTAGGGTGAATAAATTACAATGATTTAGAATGACTGTATAGCGCTTACTTCTAATCATTTGACATCAAAGTAGAAAGAGGCTTGAAAGTGCGTGGAATAAAGGGAGGGGTTTAACCATTATAATCACCATCTTGGTTTTTAGGCACAACAAGCTAAAGAGTCAGAACTGGTGAAGAAGATTCAACAAAAACAAGAGGAATCCGCTCGCCGCCACGAAGAGAACATCGAACAAATTAGACAGCGAGCCCTCGAGTCCTCCATTATGAAGTATTCAAGAGGGTGTGACGATGCCCCGAGACTTATCAGGTATATTTGGTTTCACGTCGGTCACATCTGCAGTGAGTTCTGGCGTGGGTTTGATATATTTGAGTAATAACTATGATGTGGAGATACAGTACAGTGTTGCACACCCTTGCAATTGTCTCCTAGAGTCAGCGAATATCAAAACCAATATGCCTGATTTGCGTTGGGGACTGAGTGCAAAACATTTATCCTCTTTCAGATATGAGACTAAGAAACTATGTACTCTGTGTAACTCCCTGATTACCAGTGAAGTGTACCTGCTGAGTCATCTACGAGGACGCCGCCACCAGGAGGCCCTGAAGGCACTCCACCAGGCAGACATTTTATCCACTGAAGATAGTGAAACATATAACCTCAAGCACATTATTGATGCTCCTGCTAATATTGATGATCCACAGGTAAGTGGTGTAATTACTCTAAACTAAATATTCATGTCATCAATAGAAAGGCTGATTATTCTTCAGCTGAGACCATATAAATAAGCTTAAATTCAAATAATATGATCTTAAAGCATCCCTGTTTGCCCTTTTGCCCTTCTTGTTCATATAGAATACATAAGAATAGCCAATCACAGCACTCCTTGCTTAGTGAGTCCCCTGAGAGCCAATCATTACCTATACAGATACACACTGGTATTTTTAAACATTTTCTTCCTGTTACTGCATATTGTTCTTTATACTTCCGTCAGTTTTTAAGGGGAAATAATAATGAAAATAAGAAAAATCAAAGAAATAACATTACCGTACCTTAGAAGTGAAAGTTAAAATGTTATTGTACATAGAGTGGAGTCAGGCATTGGCATCATGAGTAAGAACAAATAAAAAGATTATAGACAAAGTATGTGCAAAGACTGAGACCAGTTCTCCACACAGTCTCTTGGTTGTGTAATAAGAGAGAAGGGGAGAAGACAGTAATCTGGGGTTGGTTCCCATGTGCTAAGGATTGATTATAATGAAGGCAGTGTCTTTAATCTTTTCAGTCCTAAGCTTGTTCTATTTTGGTGTCCCTCCAGCTTAAGGCTTTTTGAAAAGATAAACTAAAAGAGAAAGAAATTGACCTTAAAAATTAATTAAACAAGTTAGTAAAAGACTTTAGAAATAAAAACTAAACATCATCATCAGGTGCACTCCCTTTGGTTTCTTAGTACGTAGTATTTTACAATAGTTAGGAGCTGCCCCATCTCCTTCACAACCCTCTACTTTATTGGCAATACGAGGCACTGAGTCAATTCTTTATTTATTACATGTTAAAAAAGTCCTAGATGAATTCATTTTCTTCATTTTGGTAAATAGTGGAGTTCTATCAATAAAGATATACACACTTATGAGCGATAGTGACTCAGTGAGCAGCGTGGCTACTCCCGAACCATGAGGGGTGTGGCTGCCTCCCTAGCCCAGACCTTGAGAATGTTAAGTTAAGTGGTGACTATTGCCAGTACTGTAAAATCCATATAGCATATAATATGAAGAATGAACAAATTGATTTAAAAGAGTTTAGAGAAGGAAGAGGACTTGGGCCTGGTAGAGAATCGGTTGTTGTTGTTTGAGGAATACGTATACGATGGAGCAAACAATGTCAGCCACTTGATAGACCTGATCCAGCAAACATTTATGCTCCTGTGGTGGCCATAGAAATCCGTGGTTACTTAAAACTGGACACCGTGGTTGGTTTAACAGTGTACAAAATTTAAAGTATGAATATTTAAAACTTCTGTTGGTAAACCTGTGGTTGGTGATGGATTACTGTAATAAGTACACAAGTTGAAGATCTGAGTAATATATGTGTGGTAATTGTTTATCTTGTTGTCTAAGCCCTATCTTTTCACTCTTCAGACAACTCTTGCACTGCACTTCCTGTTGTTGCACCACCCCCCCCCCCCTTCTTCTAGGTTTTTCCCTATTATTCACTCCTCACAACAATTGGATATAAGTAAAGATACCCGGGAATAAATGGAAGAAAAAAGTTCCGTGGACAAAATTCATAAGTTTCTTTCCAAATTGAAATTATAGGATTATAAAACCTTGAATTGGTGCTGTTGCTGAATAATGTGCCGAAACTTGAATTATTTTATTTTACAGGTCACGAGAGACAAAGAACGACATAAAGCTTTAAGAAAAAGATGCAGAAAGATCAGGACTCGGATGATCACACGGGGTAAAGAATACAACAGTGCCTTCAAGCCAGTACCTCTAAGGGATTCACCCAGCAAAGTCCGCATCATCAAGGCTCTTCAACAGATAGCTAAGCTTGTGGCTAACCAGGGATCTGGCCCCTGGCCTAGTGCTGACCTCACAGCTTTAGATAGACCATTATTGGAATTAACAAGAATCATGGAAAGAAAAGAGACTGCAGATCAAATGATGTTTAGTGCACAGGATGGATTTACAAAGATTGATTCGGTTTTAAAAGTAATTCTAGATGCGACTGAACAGAGACCGTGTGTGTTACCAGCAAAGTCTCTTGGTTACAGTGGTCGCGTCCTCCTGGGAGCATGTAGGAGAAATACAGATAACTGCCGGCATGTACTCTATTCCAACTTGACAGGTACCTTGATAGACTACCTGATGCAACGTCTCAATGAACTGGTGATTGAAACATCAAGAGTGGGCAGCAATAACAGTATAAACACCATTGTTAATCTTCCAGCTGATTCGGCTTCAGCATCGATATTTGAGGTATTTCTACGTCTCGGCAAACATTTATGTGAATAGGAAGATGTAATATGGTCAATGAATCTGAATTTTTATTTAAAGTTAGTATGTAATCTGTAATACTGTCGGTTAATTAGCGACTTGAACTACATACCATACTATTGTCTTTACAGGTTTTAGCTGAGGTTGTTCATGTATTATGTGTTGGAGACATACAGCCAGCTGTTTCCTCACATGACCAAACAATTAAAGACAGGGCAGATTCCACATGGCAGAGGGTTCAGGTTGGTGTGAGAAAATTAACCAATAGATATTATGTCCCTTTTTGACCAATGATAAAGTCAGCTGAACCATCGATGAAAGTCAACAACACACCACATTATTTATCATCACATGGGCATGACTTGGACCCACCAATCAGTATTTGCTATTATTTATTTTTAAACAGAGATCTTGAATCTAGTAAGAGTAGCTTGAATGGTCACAGTAACATTTCATTTAGACTTTATTATTGTCATTATCATGGTGAACTGTGGATGTGTGTGGTTGTTAAAGACTTATTTGGCCTACTGTCTCGTTAAGTTGATATGGGAAAGTGGATTATTTTCTTAATATTAATTTATTTTTATGATTTTCTGGGACACTTAAGCTTATTCTTTATTTCTTCTTTAAGGTTTTTGTTTCCTCCTGGTGAATCCCAGTTGGGGAAGAATTATTAAAACATGTTCATCAGTAACCATTTCCATTGTCTCTACTGATTGATAAGACAGACATACAACTACATCGTCTTTGACTCATCACCACGGGGAGGGAGGGGGGGGGTAAGTTACTACTGTATATATATATTGTCTCATTGTTGTCTAATCTAACCACTTTTTTTTTTTACTTGTTTTCTTCAATTTCGTAAGGTCTCTTGTAATGCAGAGTGACGGGAATCAAAAGCAATGCAAATTCTTCTCTCCATAATTATTGACATCCATTCCTTCTAGCTGTTTTACTTCTCTCTTATGTGGTTCATATATGAGAAGCACAGAACCGAAGTAGGACGATCTGTATGATGTCTTTAACTAGTGTCAATTAAATCTGCACTAACAATGCTATGATCTGCCACCTGAGTCACTTCAATATCTCCACCAAGGTTATGGTGATTTGAAGCTTTGTAAACTTTACCTGCATTTTTTTTCCCGTCTTCCCTGCCCTTCTTCAGGTCTGTGTGCTTCATTGCAGGATGTGGTGAGCTACTGTGTCAGTGTTGGTTTGGCAGACAAGGTATCCTGGTATTTTAGCCACGTGCAGGGACCGCTGGACAACGATGCTGGTGTTGTGGAGGTCATTCTGGCAGCTATGAGGCTTGTCTCTGCACTGGCCAAGACACTTGCCATGAGGTAAGAATCCTTTTTAGCTCTCAACCAACCCAATGAGTACTGTACCAGTCCTGCACAACCCCCAGGTACTGTATTAAGTATATAATAAATTCTTAGTCATTTAACTACTCATAAGTCAAATGTTTCTTACTTTTTTTGTTTGTGATAGTGTTAGAATGAAAGAAACTGATAATTCAACAAAGTATGCACAGTGATTTGATTAGAAGTGTTGTTAATCAATTCAAAGAGGAAGGATTTAAACAAATGCACCTTTTGAATCACCTCCTACACTTGTCTTGTATAGTACTACCCTTCTATGTCATTTCCCCATCTTTGAGGATTTTATACACAATGATCCACTTAAGCAGGAGAGAAGTAAAGGTAAGAGGCAGATAGATAGTTGGATACTTCAGGTAACTGCAAGATTTCATTGTCATTTACTCAAAATTTTGCAAATTCAGTGTATATTTCTCACAATATTTTCATGTACAATATAGATAAGTGAAGACTGTTCATTGAAAATACATATAGTATACTTTTTGAAAATACAGTAATATGAATTGTGTAGAAGTGAAGGGGATATAAATCCTTAATATGTGCTACTTCATTTCAGATCATTACCAGAAGATCCTACACAGTTGATTGGTACTTTACACGTGACTGATGCTTGTGGGGTAGTTAGCCTCCTATATGGTATCCTCCTGCATCAGGGGGGCAGGACAGCTATGCCTCAAGCACCACCAAAGCTCTCTCACACTACACAAGCTCTTACTGTTGCCGCCACTACATTGTTGCATAACCTCGCCTCCCTCAACCTCGCCATGTTTCAGGTAAAAAATGGGAGTTTTCCAAACAATCATTCTCTGGTTTCTTGTGATATAAAACTGACTCACTGGGTGGTGGTGATTTATACCTATTGGAAGAGAAGGATTTTCTTATTCATCTTTTCTAGGGTGTAAAAAGCTCTGGTAACTCATCATCAAGAAATAATGATCTGCCATTCTGTTTCAGGGTGTACTGGGGAGTGAAGGCATTTCTCTCGAGTTGCGCCACATTGCCAGTTACCTCCTGTGGTACTGTTCACACTGGCCTTGTGAGGATATCCTGCACAACATTATACCCCTTGTAGGCTTCTTTGCTGTTAACAATAAAGAAAATCAGGTATGTTGCAGATGGGATGGCAGTATACTGTAAAAAAGAATTACACACATACAGTATATCATAATTTCCTCGTGGAAAATCTTGGTTTTTTATTCATGGCAGGTGATGTCGGCGTTAGCTTAGTCAAAACTATAAGACTGGTAGAGTTTGGTCAAGATCAAATTCCATAAAACAAATTTATAACCATCGAGTGACAAGAATTTTTTTTGCTGAACATTTTGTTTTCATTTAGGGGATTTGAGCTTTAGTTATACAGTATCTGATGACGTAATAATTGTGTGTACATGTAGTGCATTTGAGTTTGAATTAACCTTTCAAATAGAATAATGTAATGAATCTCAATAGATGGTGATACAGAGTGGAGAAGTGCCAAGTGTACTGCAGCAGCTGTGTAACCTGCCCTGGCAGTACTTCAGTGAGCCGAGCCTAACAGCCGTGCTCTTCCCGACTCTCCTAGCCTGCTGCCTTCATAATCATGATAATATGATTATTCTTCAACAGGAGATGAGCTTCCAAGTAATTTCTATATATTTTACTATTATTCTTCTACTTGATTACTGTACCTCAGGGAGTTCCGACTTTGCCTTGTCAGCTGTGCACACCTTGCCAATTTTTTCAAGCTACCAAGGTTTGAGATAGAAAGAAAATTATATTCAGGAATGAGCTGGGATTTTTTTTCAGGGTTCGAGAGATGATGTAATGGGCAATTTCGGAACTTCCGAGAACACTTTTTCGTTGCCCGGAAAATTCCGGGGATGAGGGATTTTTTCCCGGCTTTGAGAGAGTCGTCTCGTTACCCGGAAATCTCTCATTCCCGGAAATGCCCTGCACCAATTGTTCCGGCTAACGGGAATATCACTGTAATTTACATGGAAGGAGTTCGTGGGGAGAATTTAAAATTATTATTGAAGGAAAGGATGTGAATTTGGAGGTGAATAAGAGATAGTAAAATCCTTCCTATATTGACATGTAGATGTGTTTTTTATTCTTGGATGGAAACAGATTTTATTAGAATCTGAGTTATAGAAAGGAGTTACCTGAGGGTTGTATCTTGGCTTAATAGAATGGAAAGGGTTAGAAATAGTGAAGTAAATGGGATGCTTAGAATGGCTGTGGAATGGTGGGGTAGGTAGATAAGTTCTTTGAGATGATATAAACATAATTGAGAAGGATGTAAATGATTAAGAGGGTGTGAAGTGGCAAGTATATTGGGTGGAAGGAGACGGTCTGCTTTGTGGGAAGGAAAATTGAGCAATATATCAAGAAGAGAATAGGAAGAGAGAGAGGGTAAGTGAGATGGAGTCAGAGGGCAGTGTGGAGGCTTTTCTAGAGTTGCCAACCCTGCACACCTCAGGGAATGAAATGTTGCATGTGAGTTGAGAAATACATGAATATTCTTAACATGATAAATAAAGTTTTGTGTGTAGAAAATTCTATATTATTCTGGTATAAACAGACTACACAAGTAAGTGTCATAAGTGACTGATAAATTTTAGGGGCCACTTGGGATGACTTAGGATATGATGTTACTGATTGGTAGTTTTAATGGTTTTTGGTATTTCAGGTTCTTGAGGACTTCCTTCACAATAATCAATCTTCAGACAAGCCCCTCATCCACATTCTTCAGAGAACTCATGTTCAGGGTTGAGATAAGATGCCAACTCACTGTATCTGATTTTATTTTTTCTCACACCATCTACCTTCTCATCTGTCAGAGATGTGATTTGGGCCTTAATTGCTTCATTTCTCCTCCTCGTCATTGTTTAATGCCGTGTCTTCTTGTCACTGCTGTTTGATGCTGTGTGTTGATTGTCACAGTTTTTACGTATTACTGTACTTTATGTATCACAGTGAACTGTAATAGAATCTCAGAATATTGTGTTTGTATTATGTGACGCATTATGTATTTCTTGTAAGTTTATATGCAATATTTACAAATTATTCTTTTGTGCTAATAACATAGAGGATGCTGATCATGGCCTTGAGCAGTAAGATTTAAATGGAAAATATTATTTGATATACAGAATGTACGGTAGCTTGATTATTTACTCTTAATGAGAGAAAATATCTGTCATTGCAAGAGGATTTTTAACTGACTAAACAATGTTGGAATGTAAGACACTTCTCTATTAGGCTTTTAATCTTTTAACCTTTTCACTACCACACTACGTGCCACTCCCACCAAGTGAGCATTAGCCTGCAACGACTTAATACTAAATAAGGATGCACTCTTAAATTTCACTGTCCTAACCAGTGAACCAATTTTGTTAATTTTTGTGCTGTTACAAAGATGAACAAGGGGGCTCCCAAGTGCAACGTGCTCTGCTATTATAAGATCTACTATAAGAAACTTAGATCCAAAAATATCATTTGTCTTCCTCTCGCACTTGATTTAGTGGCATCACCTGCTTGCCCACCATTGTTGATGATCTGTCTATAACCAAAACATATTTTGGATGATTCAAGTTCTTGTTTACAATCTATGGAGTTAAAAAACCCAGCAGGTCTTGACTTTTGACCCCTAACTTATATAACTATTGCTAAATTAGGCGTATGTTTATCCAAGCCATAAAAGTCGTTCCTAAATTAGCCAACCCTTCCTAACCACAGCCCCAAAAAGGCATATTGTGATGCATTGGTTACCTGAAGGTTTAAGGGTAAGGAGTTTTGCCATTGTGCCACCAGAAATGGTTTGTGAACTTAAATTTTCAATTATGAGCTACTGGACAGTTTCTCACCCGTCTCAGTTTCTGGTGAACTATACAGTAAGTGCTGCCCTGTTACATATTTGTTCTTGCTCATATTTATGCTCAGGCCACAGTGTATTGAGGTACTGGCATAGTTATTGTTTTGACTTTTTACTGGCATTGTAAGTACAGTATTTATAATAGCTAATGGCTCGGTTTGGGGATTTTATGGCTTGGTAGCACAAACCAGCACTAATCTCGGCAATATGCCTTTATATACAGGTCTCACATTGGGTTATAGCCATACGTATAATTGGCTTTTGGCCTTTCGACAAAAAAGACTGTGTATATGATTGGGTGACCATGCCCCATCACCTTTCTTTCCCCATCTTCCTGAATTCTTAGTAGGCTTGGAGAGAATGTTGTTGGTACTAGGAAATGATGATGTGATGGTGCCTTTAATGTCTGAAGGTAAACAGCTAGAAATTCCTCCAGTTTTGTAAATTTTCAGCAAAATTTGAAATAGCACAGAGGTGTAGTGCTATTGCTTCTCAGACTAAGTTTAATTGTTTTTCCATTAAATTTTTACATTTAAAAACTGTTGACCTCATAAGAAGGCCTGCGTCCATGCTAGACTTGTCCCTCACTTCCATATAAAATTTAACTTTGCTTGGGATGCTAACCAAGTACAGAACTTAATGCCATAATTGAGTCACTAAGGAAATATGTGGTAATAAAAGGGTTAAATTTTTATAACTATTTCTGCTTTAAAGATGAAAGTGTTTGATTTTTTTTACATTGGTTTAAGAGAGCATTTTTTAGTTCTCTTTTCAAATATAGTTATAATGAAATTTATTTCTTCACTTAGATTTGATTTTGATGACCTTTGGGTTTTCAGTATGATACATTGCTAAAGATCCACTTGTGACAGTCTTAACACAATTATGACGTGCTACAGAGGAGAACTTCACTCCATATTATTTAGTATTAATCAAAGCAGCTCCGTGTACAGCAAAACCAATTACTCACTCGTGGTTTTGGTTTGTCATTGCTTCAAAAAACTTCTGGATTAAAAAAAAAACATGTTTGTGGTATAATATAATCGCTGTGTGACTTCACTCAGGATTTTTATAACTATTAAGTGCCATGTAATGCTGATCTTAATTACTACATTATGAACTCCATGAGGATGATAGCCATAAGAGATTACTTTCTGGTATATTAAGAAGGTATAATTTCAATATTTACTCACAATATATAGTGCATTAAAATTATGGTGAGTATCTGAAGCTTAGAAAAGCTTTTTAAAGGATTCGACACTTCGATTACACGGGTTGATTCACTGTAGAGATATTGCAAAATTATCCTCTACGTATGGACACGTAAATGCTCTCACAAACACACTTTTATAAGCACGCACACAAACACACTTATAAGCACACAAGCAAGTACACACACAAACACATGGCTTAAAACTTTCTGGATAAGTTGTGCACATGTTTAAAAAAGAGAGAAGAATGTTGTACAGTGTAAGACAAGACTGGTGTTTATGTTTGAGAGGAGTAATATGGAGTAGGAGTGGTATAGTGGTGCTTGGCGGTGTGTGACATAGGGATATTGTGTGATGTGTGGTAACTCTGTACCTGTTGATTTTTGTCTTGCAGCTTGTTTGTGGAAGGTAGCTCAGCTTTACAGAACATATAAAGATTACCTTGCATTCCTTTGAGCTAACAGACATACTGTACTGTCATAGAAATAGCCTAAAACAAGATAAGTGTTTGTTATTAGATAAATTCGTGAATTATTAAAATAGTAAATATTCTCCTGGTCAGGGCATTAATGGGAGGTTAGACTGATTTGGACCTGTTGACTAACTAGCAATTCAAGAGGAAGTATGTTACCTTACAACTGCAACCTATGTAATCTTTGATTAGGTTCATTGTAACCCTTTAAGAGCAGGGGTTTCTCTTGGCTGAATAAAATTGTCTGATATTACCCAGAATAACATACTGTACCTAAGGGCTATATTGTCCTCTTAAGGGCTAAATCTCAAGCTCTTAAAAGTTGAAATTATTTTTTTTTTAAGTTGACCTAATACTGTACCTTTATTAAGACATTTTAAAAGAATACTGTATAATATTTTTATAATTTCCTTTTATGTATTAAGTTTGCTATGAATTCTTATTCATGGCTGTCATAGCTTTAAGGGGAAATTATTCTTGCTACCTCCATGTTAAAAATAACTTTACACAGTCCAAGCAGAGTGGCAGCACAGAGACTTTTGGTAGCTCAGATTTTGAATTTCTTTGATTACTGTATTGTGCAGTACAGTATTACATATTACTGTATTGGGCTTACATTATGTAACTGGAACCAATAGGTCGACTGGTAAACTAGCCAGACAACCTGATCTATTTCTTTAAGCAGTAGTAAGTAACTATCATTTTTTTTTACATTATGCTTTTTCTCATAAATACAGATCAAAGTAAAAAAAAAAATGTGCTTTAAAGAATTCTTATCGTTACAAGTGTTGGGTATCAGTTAACTTGTGATATGCTTATGCCAGGTTAATAGTTACCTGATGCTGGCATAAATTTTGCATGCTGGTTTTCGAATTTTTAAAGTAATTTTAAGGATACATCTATTTACCAAAGGATTTGTGCATAATACTAGCTGCTGCTTGGAGAATGGGGTTAAGAGTTCTGAGATTAATAAAGGTAGCTCTAACGTATAAGTAATTTGGATAAAGGAGGAAGGATGTGAATGAGGTTAGCTTCTGCAGTGGAGTATTACAATAAGATGTTTAGGGGAGTGAAAGAATGTGGCTCATGCTGGTGAGTAAATGTGGAATTGTGGATAGTTAAGGAGTGCATCTAGGTGGCTTGAGGAGATGAGTAACTTAGAAGAAGCTGAGAGTGAATGAAGGAATCTTTTAATAAAATAGAGACGATTTAGAATGAAAGTGTCGTGAGATTGAGTTTAGCTGTGAGGAGGAGACCAGGGAGTGTAAACGGAGGGCAAAGATACAATAATAAGGATACCTGGGAATATACTGATACATGGAATTAATGCTTGTTACAGATGAGTCAGAATCTAGGAGCTGCTTTACACTTGTTTGTTTGTGAGGTTGCATGGAGAGCAAGTGTAAGGATCCTTGATGTTTCCCAGTGTCCATGATACAAAAGGAATCATCTGTGACATTTCCTTTTTATAATAGAACATGTAAAGTACTTTAAAATTTATATTCAGTACTGTACTACATACACCTAGTAAGCAGGTGTAAGCAAACTTCATGGGCGATTCTCCTTAGCTATGGACCGAAAACTACATTACTGTATTGTGTTGGTGTGTCCACTGTACTTCCTGTTATGCTACAAGTAGTGCCTTCATACCTTAGGATAGATTTGTACTTTTCTGTTGGTATTTAATGTTTTAGAAATAGTGTTAAAAGAGAAAAAGATCTTGTTACATATGGAAGATGTGAATAATTTTAATTTTCCACAACATCTCCTTCATGAAGTAAGTACTGTACTCTCCATTCTGATCAAGCAAAAACAAATTGCAGCTTTAAGTTTTCTTAGGCTCGTTGTCCAAATGGAAAGTTACTGTATCACAACTATTAAACTAATTTGTGCTGTTTTTATTACAAAGTCACAGTTATTTTGTTTGTGAATTATAACTGAATTATTAGGTAGCTTCCTGTGACATTATTATTGGGCACAAGACTTGTGTTTTTTTTTTGCACAGAAATTCAACTGTATTATTGAGTTCAGAAAAAAAATTGGACTCGTACAAGTACCAAAGAATAACCATAAAGTTTTATAGTGTGAACTAAAATATTTCTCACCAGAAATGAGGGAAATATGTTGTACTTTCATACAGACACAGTGCACACAATGAGTTGCACTGAAGTGATCTCCACTCTGTCTATTGAGCTTAAATCTGATGTATTTCATTATTTTGTGTTTCACAGATTTCAGATATTTCCCACACTTCAGGTAGGATGCCTTATGCACAATAGTCATCACTCGGTCTTCTCTACTTGCCTGTTGTTGATGCATATGTACCGTGCCCCCACTTTACATTTAGGCTCAATATTCAACCTAGAATACAATGATTCAACCCTGTAGAATGTAAAGGTTTCTGAATATCAATGTTTCCTGTTTTTATGAATGAGCAGATTTAGATTCAACTCATTCATTCTATCGAGTTTTATCCTTTTGATATCTGTATGTTGTGTGTCATGAAGGTTGAACAGCCCCATGCACTAGGACGGTATCCCTTACAACAGTTCTCACAGTATCATATAACTCTCCACAATATGATGATCCATTAATGTGTTCCAACCTCATATACCGGTATGTGACTGAACTCCCTACAGTATGATAGGTTTACAGAATTTGACAGACCTCCCACAATATCACTCAACTCCCCAATAGGATACAACTTCATACAGTACAACAGAACTCTTCACAATAAGAAAGGCCTTAGAACAGGAATGGATTTTTTTTTTTTTTTTTTTTTTTAACATATGTGAGAAACTGCTGCCACCTGCTTGTCCTCAGAACAATATGTTAGTAAAGAATGTAGGTTTCCTGTATAGATATCCTTGAGAGGAAAATTAGGTGTTAAATCGAGAAATGAGGATGTACAGAAGGCGTGGTGTGTGAGAACGTGAGAGACTAATGGTGTTGAAGTAGGGGTATCGGTGAGAAAAGATAAATGCTAAAAGAAAAGCTTAAAACAGCAATTCATTGTGGCTAACTTTTCACTTATCTTGGCATAAATAAATATGGGAATTATAGCTATACTGTACGCAATATTACTCATTTTAATTGATGCTGTACATTAAAACAAATATTATCTCCTCAGCCCCACTGCTTCTGTGGTAGTTGTGCTTCCATGGGAAATGAATGCCACCTAACCCAACCCATATACAGTATCATATGCTTCAGCCCAACGACTGCACTGAATATTCCACGTAAAGCAATTGTTATGGGTTACACTGCTTTTGTTAACAAGCTTTTATCACATCTTTAACCTCATTTCTTATTGCAAAGTGAAATCAGGCTACAGGTACAGTCATGGAAAAAAACTCCTGTCAGTTCTCCCTCTCATCCATGAACCTGTGAATCCGAGACATCACACATTGTTGGGCCCTTAGATGGTGCACTGCGTGATGTCTTGGATTTACAGGTTCAAGAGTTCCAGGGTTCATGGACGGCACTTTTGACCGTGACTGTACATTCATGCGACACCAACATTGTGTTAATAGAGTACTGTACCGTGATTTTGATTTGCTGTAAAGAAGACATTAAGCGCGCTGTGATTCCTGTTCGTAATTTTCACTTGATGGAGATGTTATAGCGGTAAGAGTGAAAAACGGGAGAGCGTGTGTTTGCTTTTGGTTTCGGCCATCCTTCGATATAACCAGAAAGAGTGTGTGTGTGACAAGAAACCATCACAGGCTTCCAGCAATTTGCCTAATGTTTTTTTTTTATTTTTTATTTTTGTACAGCCTTTAAATGGTCAGATGAATATATGTACAATGCAAGTTCTGTAATGCTGCTTGTATTATGTGTGTTCGATCTCTCCCGTCTAAAACTCGTATACGTATACTTGTATGTGACTGTACTTTTGAATTCATAGACTCATTTTATCTTTTGTATTCCATTTATAACAGCAGTTGATATCCATTGTAATCCAGCTGTTTCTATTTTATTTTCTTCCTAACTTGCTCTGTGCACAGGAAAACAATAATTAACCACGGTAAAGCATTATTGTCCAGTCATAGTCATAAATTGAAGTCAAGATTATTATCCTACCCTACTTGATTATCTGGTAATTTTTTATAAAAGTTTTGATATGCATATTAGTTTTCTGTGAGATATTTTTTTTTTATTTATTGTCATTGGTATCTTGACCTAACAGTTACATATACCCTTAAGGACTTACAACATTTTATATCCGTTTCTGATAGCTTGAACTGTTGATGACTGGACTTTTTTTTCTTTGTCTCTCTAACAGCTAGATCTCTTAAGTGTCAGAACATTTTTCATTGGCATGATTAGTGGATTACTGTAATATCTTGGTACTGAAATAATGTTGTGACCCCATTACCATAAGTCAAAAGTCAGGGGCCTTTTGTCTAATTTTCCGTGTGCTTCCTATATTGTCAAGGATGGGCCTTTTACAGTAATCCTTTGTTTTATTTTATCATCATATACACTACAGTACCATCACTATAACCAACAAACCTTATGCTACTGCTGCTGTAATTGGATTTGAAACACATAGCCACTGCAGGTCATTAATATTTATGTAGATCTGTAATGTATATCTTGTTTATTATGGCTCACCTTATATAACCATTGTGAATCTTATACATGTATTTACAGCTGCAGGGTTTTCACAAACTTGGTTTGAAACTGCAGGATATTAAGTCTTTGAAGAGGTCATGGTGGTCACTCCAAAGAAGTGCTTTGAGTGTTTAGCACTTAAACATCATGTGATGTTTTATGTTGCATCATATGATGACAAGATTTTCAAGCCAGTGTTTTAATACTGTATTATGCATCAAAATTAGCATTTATACAGCATGTCACGTGTCCCAGTAGACCTCATGCTACCCACACCTCAGTAGAGCTCAGTTGTCTTTCAGTCAATGTGGAAAATACACGTTTGTTGCTGTTAGTGGCAGTCTGTCCACCACCCCCACCTCCAAGATCCCCTGTTGCTCGGCCCTCAACACGCTCACATAAACACTCAACTGTGACAAAAAAAAGTACTAGGCAGATAAAGAATTAATTTTTTTCATTTTCAATACTACTGCTTGCATTTTTTAATTTAGTAAGAATATAACCCCCAGCACACAGTGGTAGCCAGGTTATTCTATAGTTGCAATTTAAGGTTAGGAAATAAAAAGCCATGGAAAGGTATTAGTCCATTGAGTAAAGGTATTTAGTCCATTGAGTTGGTCCAAGATAAGTCGTTATGTTGTGGCTAAGGTAATTCTGCAACGCCCAAATGTGATGTCTCAAAACTCCTCCGAATCACTTTATTTTCTAAACGTTTTTCTGATTTCCAATACAGTATTTATTTTATTTATTTTTTATCCCCTCATCCCCCTCTTATACCCTGTACCTCATTCCCAACTCTTTCGTTACTTTCATATTATTATTGGTAGTTGTTATCTCCAGATCTCCTCCTTTACTGATTACTTTTTCTTTTTTTCTTTGTTAGTCATAATGCCTTTCCTAACTGACACACTGACAGAATTTCTTAACATTATTACTGTAGTACTTCATTAACTTTCAACCATTTCATATCGAGATTATTTATTATTCATTTGAGATCTTCAGTCCACTGTGCTGTAATTCTCAAGGCATGTGTTTTGGGCTAGAATTAGGGATACTGCGCAGGAAAAATTTGTAAGCTGCCGTCGAAAATTTTAATGCTATTTAATTTAATGAATATACAGTATACCTTAGGGATTAATACACTACGTATCATTATCACCATTTATGCTCACAGATACATGATATTGGATTCGATTATATATTGGATGTAAATTACGTTTGACCTCATTTGACGCTGATATCAAAAAATGAATGACAGTTGGGAACAGCATGAGCTAATTTAGATGATGACTTGTGTATGACTTTCCTTTTTTTAAATCATATCAGTGTTTATTTCCCCTGTTCTTCAGATTCAAATTGAGGTTATACATTCATAATTATCTCCCTAACACACATTGGTTCTTGCAGTAATCATAACTTGTACATTCCATGCTATTGCTTTCGAACTTATCGTACCATTAAGTTAAAGAATGATTATATATGCAATTGTTTATGTGTAGTAGTTTTTATAGGATGTATATACCCTGTATGTATGTATGTACTGTGTCTTATGATAAAATGCTCATAATGATTGTATGGATTCAAAATAGCCCCCATTTTCTCAACAACAAAAGAAAGTTTACATTTGCCTGGTAGCCATTTAAGAGGAGAAGCCACCCACAATGGCAGATGAAATGTTTCGTCTCATACATTGTTGTTTACTTTTTGGTGACTCTCCAGCCATTTAAGAGGAGGTTTATAAGGATCTTACCTGGTACAAGTCGGGTGGTATCCCCAAGATAAGAAAATAAAATATAATGCAAATGTATGTCAACCGAATATGATGTACGGTGCCTAACTTTTGAGAGTACTGGAGAAACCACCACCAAGAGAATGTTGATTGTCATTTAGTGTATCTTTAATAATGACTCTAATATACTATTAAACTCATGGTTAATCACAACATTCAGGGTAAAATAGTACCGTATGTAATTGTGTATCCGTGGAAAAGTAATTACAGTGTATAATTGAGTATGGGCATTGATATTATGAGGCTAATACTAACATAAGAAATTATATTATTGATATTTATATTGACTAGTACAACTGTATGTGTATGTACAGTATATTGAGTGTGTGTGTGTCAAAAAAGGGCATGTTACTAAATTTTAAAAGCTTGGTCACAATGAACAAAGGTTAAAAATACAGTACAATACAGATACTGTATTTGGTCACTACTAGATGTGATATAGTTTAGGATAAGTTACATAGACTTTTTGTTTTGTTTTGCTTTAAGTTGATACTGTAAAATATGTGCTGTAGTTTTAGAAATATAGGTTGTACTGCATTTTATCAGTAAGTCACTGGAAATTTGAGAACAATTAGAAAAACGAAACCTTATTTAGATTTGACTTTACTGTATACATACATAATTTTTATGGTACATTGTCAAATATTAATCTAAATGCTGTATCTACTTCAAAACACTGTTTATATACAAAGAATTCTTGCTTATACAGTACAGTGGTCCCTCGGTTAACGAACACAATTCGTTCCACAAAGTCGTTTGTTAACCGTATCCATTGTCTCAATGGGATATTGGGTAATTGGTTCCAGCTCACAGAAAAGTACATACAAAGTAAAAAAAAAATGCAGTAAAGTACACTTACTTTGAGGTGTGTATGTAGAAGGTTCATGGTTGATGATGATGATGATGATGATGGGAATTAGAAGTGGGGTGGAGGAGAAGGGAGAAGAGAAGGAAGTGGGGATGGAGGAGAAATCACCTTTCAGGGGACCCATGCTTGATGCAGTAATTTCACCAATATAACTTTAAGTTCACTCGGTGTAATTCAAGATTATTTTATTTAAATCAACACTGTACTGCGCTATATATTATCAATGTTAACTAAATTTCAGAATGACCAATAATTCCGATGTATAAATTCAAAAATATTCAAGACACCAACAAAATAGATGTTCACTCCACTGTCAACAAAATCACACTGACGCTTGGTGGCTGAGTCAAGCGGCTGATGGGCGCACAAAAAACTAGTTCCCTGTACTGCATATATTATCAATATGTTAACTAAATTTTAAAATGACTAATAATTTTAATATAAAAAATGCAAAAATATTAAAGAGAACAACTTTCTTGATATTTATTCCACTGGAAATGAATGTAAACATAGAACAAATTACTGAATTGGCAGACTAGCCCATCATCTGATGCTCACAACAAAACGTGTTGTTCGTAAGGATTTCGTTAATCGAAGTTTTGTCTGTTAACCGAATTGAAGATCCGTATCGGAGGTAATTCGTTAACTGAAATTTCGTTAATCGAACCGTTCGTTAACCGAGGGATCACTGTACTAATAATGATAAAGTCACCTCGGAGTTACATGAGACTGTGCTAATGTCTTTGAGAAATAAATATTACACCACAACAATTTAGAATAAAGATAATGGGATATTCTTGACATTGATGAACTTGAATTATTTTTTTGTTTTGCATAATGACATAACAGTTGATGCACGTAAAGCAAAACAATAACAATGTACCACCACCTAAAACAAAACAATAACAATGTACCACCACCTAAAACAAAACAATAACAATGTACCACCACCTAAAACAAAACAATAACAATGTACTGTACCATGTAAGTATACAGTACAGTGAAGTACGATAAATCATCCTGTCAGAAGCTTAAAACTTTACCCATCCAGTCAATAATCATAGATGTTTTTGTTGTAATGAATTATCTTGTGTTAAATATATTACATAGATATTTCTTAGGTTAAATAGTTATATAGAAACCTAACCACTTATATTATGATTTAGTGAAGTGTAGAGTGTGTACATACATACATATATAAATACCGTACTATATATAACTTATCCTGATTTGTTATGTTAATTACAATCTTTATTTCTGTATATTACTGAATTTGTGGTCAGTAACTGCAGCTATTACAGTAGTTATTTTATCCAACTGCCTTGATACAATGTTACTGTATTTTAGGTATTAACACATGATATTGAGTCTGTACAGTACTTGTTTTGTAACTTCCTAAATTACTTCGGGGGGGGGGGGGACCTCTTATTTTTTCCCCTGTGATTATTTACAGGTGGCACTGGTAGTAACTCATTCATTTACAAAAGTTACCTGTAGCTCATTCATTTCTAAGAGGTACTGGTAACTGATTCATTTACAGAAGATACCAATAACTCGTTTACAGGAGGTACCGGTAACTCATTTACAGGAGATGCCGGTAACTCGTTTACAGGAGGTACCGGTAACTCATTCATTTACAGAAGAGACCAGTATACAGTATGTCTGGCAGGTAGATATCTGATTTGTACCGAACACCTTGTACAGGATTTTGTGAGTTTAGTTTTGCATTTGGAACGTCATGTGTTGGTGGGGCATTATCCATACACGTTCACAATGCTTATATACCTTATCAAAAATAATACTGGAAGAATAGAGATAAGATTACCATTTGAGTTTATGAAACATATTCCTGTATTTCTTGTTATTGATACGAGAGAAATATTGACAGGGTCTTTTTTGTGTGAGTTTATTTTACTTTTTTCTATTATTGTATTATACTTCGATTTTTACAATTTAATACTGTAGTCTGATCTTTTGAACTTGTACTGTATTCAGGATCTATTACTAGTGAATTAAACGCTTCTGTTATTCCACATTTTTATTTGCCATGTAGAGTCACTAAATCAGTGTGAAGTAGCAATATAAGAGCATCCAAAACAAATTACTGTAACTGAAATGGTCATTAGTATTCCCTCAAGTATACTGTATAATATGAAAAGCTAGGAACAGTATGTTATGAATGTTTCTTGTATGATTTTCCTACATCATTCCTAAGGTTCTGTAACATTATGAGTTGGTATATTTCTTAATAAGCATTCATGATTTTCAGCTTATATTTTTCCATTGTATTACTTGTACTACATTGACATGGAATCCTAATGTGATACTAACCATGTGATAGGCAGTTGGGACTTAAATGATTGACTTGATTAGTTGTTTATTTCAACCACACCTTTGTATGATGAATAATATACTCCACAGAAAAGAAAATAAGTGATAATCCAAATGAATATGAGAAGTGGCTGTAAAACTGTGGTGGTGGTGATGGTGGTGGTGATGATGGTGGTGGTGGTGGTGATGATGATGATGGTGGTGGTGATGATGATGATGGTGGTGGTGATGATGGTAATGATGATGATGGTGGTGGTGGTGATGATGATGATGATGATGATGATGGTGGTGGTGGTGGTGATGATGATGGTGGTGGTGTCATTCAGCTGTAGGTTCTTGTGCATATAATCTTAAAGAAAAAAATTAAGGATATTGATTACTAAGAGATGATTATTACATAACATAATTTATTTTACTGTATCATGGAATACAGTACTGTACCTGTAAGTCAAACTCACTCACTGACATGCTTTAGGGAGAGATGGAAGTGACTTACCCCATCTACTATTGGTCCTCTTGAGAATTGCATTACGGTGTTTTCTCATTTCTCTTACATCTGTGTGACTGTGAAGGTCATGTTTGTGTGTGTTCTTGGTGGTTTAATTGGGGTAAAGTGACACAACCCTCTTCCTGTTGACCTTGTAGAGGGAAGTTGTAAACATTGTATTTGTACTAAATTATATCAGTTTACCCAATGTGAATAGAATGACACTTTACACTGAAGCTTACTGTATATTCTAAAACTACTCTCTCCTGATCTCCTCTAAATGATAGTTGCCAGTGTAGGTACTTGGTCATTTAATTTTTCGTTCTAATCCAAAAATTTTTAAATCTTTTTGTAATTCATTGCCCTAAATCCCAATCTCTTTTTAACCAGTACAGTAGGTAGATATAATCAGTAAAATCATTATACAGTATAGTGCAAGTTTACAATTGTCTCTGCATGTAAATAGGCAATGCAGGTAAAGTATACACATAATTGATGTCTGTACACAATATCAGTACCTACAGTGGCAGTCCCAACCATCCCTTGGAATAATTGCCTCAAAAGTGCTGTACTGTATTTGTTATGCTATATTCCTTGGACATTGATAGATATGTATTCAATAAAAGAGAGATTTATTCAGTAAAATCATCATACAAGTTTACAATTGTCACTAGAAGGGTGAAGTAAATTACTCCACTGTCCAAGTAACTTTAATACAGTACTGTATAGCATGACCATGTGCTTATCAGGTGATGTGTAAAAAGCTAAACTCAAGCTATAATTGGTGTCAAAAGCAGGTAAGCTATTGTGTAATACTGTATTATACAGTTTATGTGAGGTGACGTGGATATAAGTAATGGCCTCGACATATACAATAACTGTGAACAATACTGTACTGTTGTTGAGTCTATAGAAGAAATCAACAAAAGTAATACTGTACAAGTATAATGGCCAAAATCTGCATCAATGATAGTGCATATGAAGCAGTCTTTAAAACAACGTGTGGTCTTTAATAGTTGTGGGAGAGACAGAAGGAAGGTGTGGCTGTGATGCATGAGCTATACATGTGTGGTGCCAATGTATGATACATTGCCC